TTGGATGAAAACCACATATATTAGTGTGTGTTTTGTATGAAAACCACCCACCACTGTCACATATGCAATTTTATCTTTTGGCTGATAGAGTCTCAATCAATTTAGTCACCATTAAATCATTCTCCATTCATCAAAACTGGTCGTTGAGCCATTGCTTTATTGACTAATGCAGGTGAGGGAAGAGTTCTCTTTCTTCTTTTTTCAATTTACACTGTAAATGGGCGGGTCACGAAGTGTTGCCATATATAGTGGCACTGGTAGGCTAATGTAGGATTAAAATATACATAAATCTTTATCATTCAATTATTTGACTGAATCTTGTATTAAGGTATTTTCATATTTAGTTTCTGTGACCACTTTAGTTATTCAATTTGAAAATTATACTTTACTTAAAAACAAAAATTATTACAACGGATTATATATTTTGTAATCAATGTTTGCCCGGCCAAGTGGGAGAATGGAATATTTTTTGGGTTTCAATTGATTAAATAATATGAAAACTGGATTAATAATTGAAACCATAAACAGATTACTATACCCAATGCAGTTATAATTGTTGAACTAATGCTATATTTGGGTGCATCAAATCGACGCATTAGAATTAGAAATACAAATGCAGTATTCAAATTTAATGTGCCGATTCAATACTCACAAATGCAACATAAGTAAATTTGAACCAAGTAGAAAACAAATTTCACTTAAAATCAAATATAATTTTAACTAACAATTAACAAAAATTCAAATAAGAAAAAAATAACTAATCAATTAGCAATTAGCATATAAAAATTAGCTCTTAAACTTTTAATTTTATCACAAACACCATCTAAAATTGTTTGAGAATCTCTTTTATTTTTTAAAATTCATTGTTTGAGAATCTCAAGAAGTGATTTAAGTTATGTTTATTTAAATAATAGGGGTGCCAACACAATTGAGTCAGGTCTTGGCACATTTAAATCCTGTTTATTAACAAAAATGATTCCTAATTTCTACTACCAATTCCTAAAATTGAGAATTAAAAGTAAAAATTATATTTAATAAAATACTTTTACTTTTTAATTTTAAGAAAGTACTTTCTAATTTTGTGAAGGGAAGGGAAAGTGAGAAATATGTGCTTTCTCTAATTTTTACATTGTTCACATAAATTACTTCCTCAATTGTAGTATTAATTTTAAGAAAGTACTTTCTAATTTTGTGAAAAGAAGAAAAAGTGAAAAATATGTGTTTTCTCTGATTTCTACATTGTTCACATAAATTACTTCCTCCATTGTAACATTATTAAAATAAAATAAAATAAAAAAACCATCTAAAATCAACAACCATCTCTATCTTAACAAACCATCTTTTTCCTCACCGCCTGACGATGGAGTTGGAGTCACATCCGATGAGAGGAGAGAGAAGACAGAAACACTCTCTTTCTAGTTTCTCTCTCTACTGGTCTCTAGGAGGTGAATATCAGTCGCCTCAATCTCTCTCTATACTTTTTCTATATACCCATGGAGATAGCATCAGGATCCCATCTTGCAGAAACCAAACCAAGTCAGTGAAATTCTCATCGGTTAAGTGATCTAATAAGGGGCTTCCTAAGTTCAATTGTAAACATGGGGTTTTGATTTGCCTAAAGGTGGGTGGAGTGAATCCAATTGATCTAGAGAATGACATCTATTTACAAAGGTTGTATATATATGTGTGTGTTGTAATCATTTGTGCGTATATATTTGGGTGGTGGTGGGCAGGTCCATGCTGATAGAGTGAATTGGGTTCAATTCAGGCCAGAAATGTGAGAGAAGGGTTGAAGAAATTTTGTACCTACAAAATAAAAATTCTAATTATTGAAAATGCTTTTGTATTTCTTGCTTTGAAAATACTGAAAGCATAGAAAAATTAGTGAACATGATTATATTTGGTATTTTAACTTCCGAAATGAAAATCATAATTTTGCTTTTGAAGAGAGTAAAAATAAAAAAGTAAAAGCGGCCCCTTAATAATTTTCTTAATTAATTTTGTAGTAGGATTATCGGGAAGCTAAAAATTCTATTTAGTAAACGGCCCCTTAATAATTTTCTTAATTAATTTTGTAGTAGGATTCTCGGGAAGCTAAATCAATAGTTTTAATTGTTTTTAAACATAAATAAATTTTTCATTTTAATATAAAAAAAAAATGTAATAAATTTGTCATTGGCAAGAAATGAACCGAGTTGTTCATGAACAACTCGTGCTTGGCTCGTTAAAAGTTAGGTTCGGGATCGTTCATTTAGTAAATGAGTCGACCTCGAACTCAACTTTCAAGCTCATTTAGTAAACAAGCCGAACTTGAACAACCGAACTTGAACAACCTTGAGCTTGGTTCGGTAGGCTCATGGACAAGCTCATTTAGTAAAGGCCCATTTGTAAATTTGTAATGCTATCTAAAATGTTTAGCCCACATTCTATCATTTTGTATTTTAAAAGTTTATAGCCCAAACAAGTTTGGCCCAATTAACACCATTTATTAATAAGGCCCATCATTCAAATAAGATTGAATCTCAACCATTAATCATTAACGCATTTCAGCCCTTGATTTGCTAAAGTTAATAGGAGGTAAAAATATGCTAGACAAAGAATTCTACAGCCGCAACACTCTTCTCACTTCTTTATCTCCTCCCTCTACCGAATGATCTAGTCGGCATTCTTGTCTCTAATAGCTCTCATCAAGTAACACACAGTTATTCTCTCTCTCTCTCTCTCTCTCTCTCTCTAACAGATTTTAAGGTGTAGATTGGGAATAAAACCTTGGAAAGTTTGATTTCATTTTTAGACTTATTCTCTATATATATATATATATTTTTTTTCCTTTCTTGTCTAACATGGAGTTCGAATGGTTTTTTTTTCTAGTCGGAGATGGAGATTTGATGAGTTTGTTTCAACAATTCAACAAATTACCATGATCTCTGCTATGAAATCCGATCTCCATCTCTAACCATCCTGCGCCAAGTCGAACCTGAGCCCGAGCCTACCGAATCTCCACCAAGCCGAGCTTGAGCTTGGTTAGGCCGAGTTTTGTGGAGCCTAATAACGAGCCGATCCCGAACAAGCCAAAGTTTGGCTCATTTGCAGCCCTAACACTCACACACCCATTTTGCTTCTTTAGCGAGTCAAACACTCGCCATCCACTTTGGGATTTTGCTTCTTTAGCAAGTCAAACACTCGCCATCCATTTTGGGATGTAGAAAAAATACTATTAGATTTGGTAAAAAAAAATGTAGTAAATTTAATTATAGCCTCTATTATTTTTCTCCATCCATTTTGGGATGTAGAAAAAATACTATTAGATTTGGTAAAAAAAAATGTAGTAAATTTAATTATAGCCTCTATTATTTTTCTCCATCTTATAGCGTACAAGAGAAATGTATGTGTTGATTAGAGTTAATTCTCTACTTTGTTTTGGATCAAAACTTGAAATAACCAAGCCAAATATATATATATATATATACTTTTAAGGTACATTGAACATTTCTTGAGACTTAGGCAAATTACACATAAGTAAAGCATTTAACCTTTGTTTAATATTTTCTAAAATTTGACGCTTGTGCTCAACGACACCCTTGTTGTTAATAAATATTTTTTTAAAAATGACTAAGTTGCCCTTTTTTTGTATTAAAAGAATCTAATAACCTTATATTTTGATATGAAATGACATTGAAATTCCAAGTATCAATTTTCGTACAAATTTCATATTATTATATTTTACAAAAATAAATTATTTATTTATTTTGGTTAATGACATTTGATTAGGTTTCTTTTTATGATTAAAATCACGCCCCCATCTACTTTCAAAATTGTGCATAAAATCCCACAAAAAAAAAAAAAAAAAAACCCTCCTGAAATAACAAAATTTATCAAGTTATCCCCAAATTCGTGATCTTCTCGTTAAATGGGTTGTGAAATGTCAAAATTAACTTTACTATTTAATATTAAAATAAAAGCTATTAAATCAAATTTGATTTTCAAAGCGTTTGGGAAGAAGATAATGGTATTTTTGTAATTTTAAAATAATAATTATAGCATTTAATTTAATATTAAATAGTGTTGATATGAAAATCAGCACGATCCAGAAATGACGATGTTTACTTGTAAAACAATGGAGATTATGTCACTTTGAATGGCATCGGTGGGGTGCCGACCGAGGACCCTCCGACGATTAAGTCAATGTTTGAAACCGCATAACAGAAAAATTAATTATGTATTCAATGTTCAGGAGTTTTTTTCTCATACATTGTTTAATGGCTCTCTATCGTATTTAAGGTTGTCTTGAGATCCAATTGGTTGCGTAGATGTCGATTGGAGAGATTTTGTTTATATTCCTTAACCGATCTCTCTTATTTCTCGTCAACTGAATGATAATAGCTTCCTCATTATCGTATGTTGTTACTATCCTCTTTTCCACAAAAAGAGAGTTGAAGGGAACTAATTAGTCAAGGCGACTGGTCAAACTTAGGGTTATTTTTTCCCTATCAAATGGTAAGGTCAAATTTGACATTTCATAACTCATTTAATGGGTCTATAACAAATTTTGGGATAACTAAATAAGTTTTGTTAGATTATGATGTTTTTTAATTTTACTGGGGTTTTATGTTCGATTTTGAAAATAGAGGGAGGTTTTTTTTATTTTAACCCATCTTCTTATGGTTTGAATATGTTTTTTTCCCAAAAAATAAAAAAGTAGAATAATATAATGTTTACAAGAAGGAAAAAGGGTAATAAAGTCTTTTTGTTCGACAGATCTTTTTATTAAATTAAATAAGGGTATGAAAAATAGATGAAAGTAATAAAAACTAAATGTTGTGTAATTTGTTCAAACTTTATAAGATGTCATTGTAATTTTTTCATTTATAACATTGAGTAGTTTGATTTTTATACTAGCGGTTGGGTTAACCCATATTTGAACCCGCTAACGTTTAACGGGTCAGATTGTTGAACACTACTACACTGGAAATTCGTACTAGGTTTTATGGAGGGTTTATGGCGGCTACAAACCATCTCATCATCGCCTGGCTCTTTCTCGATCTCAAGATGCTCAACCTCCCAAAATCTTCGCTCTCTCTCGCTCAGCGTGTGTAATTCTCTTCGTGCCCCTTATTTACTCTTTGCCTCTTCTCCATAAAATTTCTCGGAAAATTTGGTCTTTTTGATGTGCTGCATCATACTCTCACATTCTCCACTAATTTTCTCAGAAACCCAGTTCGCAAACTCAAATCTCCCAATAAAACAAATTTATAAACCATCCGAAAATGTGGAGAAGTTTATCCAGACAAACCCATTTGAAAAAGTTAAAATTTTCGTCCGAACCCCCTTCTTTTTTACCTCCTTATAGCTCCGCAATACTTCCTCAAGATTCAAGGTTTTCCGAGAAAACTGGGACCCAAAGCCATGTTGGTTTTTCTTACCCTGTAGTGGGTTTTCGAAGAATCGGTGTATTATTTTCTGGGAAAGATGAAATGGGTAGGCTTGCGTCTCTGAGTAATCCTTCTAGTCTTTTTGGGTTCTGTAATTATCCGAAGGGTTATGCGAGTATTGCCGAGGCCATTGCTTCGACTGAAGAAGAAGATAGTGACGAAATACAGGAATTGGTAGAGCAGATGAACAAAGAAAGCAAGGTGAAGTCCAATTTCCAGCAAGCCAATCAGCCTAAATTGGTGAATGGAATTGGGCAGGGAAAGTACTATGCGCTTCGGAGGCGGCAGGTTAAGATGGAGACAGAGGCATGGGAAGAGGCAGCCAAGGAGTACCAGGAGCTTCTGGTGGACATGTGTGAGCAAAAGCTTGCACCCAATTTGCCTTACATGAAGTCTTTGTTCCTCGGATGGTTCGAGCCTATACGGGATGCCATTGTGGCAGAGCAGAACTTGTGCAAGGAAGGGAAGAACCGGGCTGCATATGCCCCGTATTTTGATCAGTTGCCAGCTGATATGATGACTGTTATTACAATGCACAAGTTGATGGGATTATTGATGAGTGGTGGTGGACAAGGCGGTGCCAGGGTGGTTCCAGCTGCTTGCCAGATTGGTGAAGCCATTGAGCAGGAGGTGTGTTTGTTGATACTTTAGATTTTCATTTCTTCTCTATTTGTGGATGGGTCATGGAAAATGTGTAAATTGTGGCGACTCTTGTTTTTTGTGATTATTTCTAGCCATAAAGTATGTGGAAAATACTTTATAACACTGAATAGTTTGTTGCTAAAACCCTAAGACTGCAACTCATATTTAGCAACTAATTTTTAACATCAATGTATATGGTAGAAATTCAGAAGGAGAGTTCATTTGCATTTCAAAACAATAAGTTTCCTTTGGCTTATGCTATTGTCATTATTCGAGAATAGCCTCTCTTTTTCCCCCCCTACAATCTTCAATAAATATCAAGACTATTATGTAAAAACACTAACATGGTATGATATTGAATTAGCACCTGTTTCTGTTGTTTTCAACATTAGCCATCACTAACATGTTATGGCTACTTTTTGCATGTGAAATATCAATGCTTTGAAATCGATTTTAAAGGTTCGTGCAAACTTCTAATGAAGTGGGAATGTGTTCTTCTAATCGTTTGCCTGTCACTCTTGCGGGATACATGTTTGTGTTTTGTGGTGAGCGTGTCTGGCATATTTCTCTTCCCCACCGATGTTGTGTCACTTCTAACATGGGTTGTCCATACTTTTTTAATTATCTTCATAAACTAGAAATATGGCATTCAAACATGGTAAATTCAGTTCTTTTGAACTATCCCAACTTCACTCATCTTTAATGGGAAAAATTAAAAGTGGACATCAAAACATAGTATTTTTGCTTCCATATATATATATATATGTATATATATATATATATATATATATCTGTTTTTCTTTTTGATCCTCAACTTATTTTTGGTAGTGAGAATCTAACTATTCCCTTTAGCCTTTTATTATGATTCTGAATTCTGCATAATTTGGCATCTTTGATAGACGAGCTTATTCAGTGTGTGTGTGTATATATATATATCTGCAACCCATCTTTTTCATGACTGGACACTATCTTGATTCTGCCTCCTGTCTTGTCTTTGACGGCAACCTTTCTGGGCTTTGGGAATGAGCTTCTGGATCTTTGTATGCGCTTGTATTCGTTTGGAATCTGTTGTTCTTTGGTCTGAGGAGGGACATCTACTAGCCTTCATCCGTTTTTTTGATTCCTATATATATGTGTGTGTGTGTGTTTTTGTGGATCAGGTTAGGATACACAGGTTTTTGGAGAAGACAAATAAAAAGAATGCATCAATTATCATTTCTGAAGAAGGATCTGAATCATCTGATCCTGTAGCTAAAGCGAAACAGAAACTTGAAGAGCAACAGAAACTAAGGAAAAAAGTTAACATTTTGATGAAAAAGAAAAAAATGCAGCAAGTAAGAGGGATAGTGAAAGAACAGGATGATTCAAAGCCCTGGGGCCAGGATGCTCAAGTCAAGGTTATACCATTTAATTAATTATCATCATAATAGTCATAGTTGTTGCCATTGTGGGTTCAAGAGGTTTTATCCCAGTTATGTACTTTCCAGGTTGGTTGCCGTTTGATTCAGTTAATGATGGAAAAAGCTTATATACAACCTCCAGTTGATCAAATAGGAGATGGTCCACCTGATATACGCCCTGCATTTATACACACTCTTAAAACTGTCGCCAAGGAATCAAAGTGAGTAAAAGTTTCATCTCTCTCTCTCTCTCTCTCTCGTGAGAGCAGGCGCTCTTTCACTTTTAGCTATGGATAAATTTTCCCAATTCTTTTGTTTCAATAGGAATTTCAGCAGGAGATATGGGGTTATTGAATGTGACCCTCTAGTTCGAAAAGGAATGGAAAGAACTGTAAGTACAACATGCTGTTTCTTCTATTGTTCATATCACCAGTTTTTGGTTTAAATCTAGCAAGCTACCTGGACTTTAAAGTTTGAATATGCATCGCTATATTTTTTTTCCTGCACATTATCTTTGAAGAATCGGGATGATTATATTTTTTGTTGTCCAAGCAGGCTAGACACATGGTGATTCCATACATGCCAATGTTGGTGCCTCCACTAAACTGGACAGGGTATGGTATTTCAGCTTCTGTTTTTACAGTTCTTTAAGTTAGGTTTTCAAGATCCGGGCATGTTTAGTCTAGTTGAAAAGATGTGTGCTAACTTCTAATATACAGTTATCTTGAATACAGACAAGTTGATTGTTATTTAAGAAAATCCCTCTTGTTTTTTAATCCTTTTAAGGTGGAAATGATTTTATTTGGGATCATGACTGCTTCTCAAAGGTTGAACATGCTGCTTAGATATTCAAGACAAAATTATAGCTTAATTTTTTTCTTCTGGGATTATTTGGTTAGCTTATTCTTTACTGTGTTTGTATAAATTTTTTTCTTTTTATATTTTGGCAGGTATGATAGAGGAGCACATTTGTTCTTGCCATCCTATGTGATGCGCACGCATGGAGCAAGACAACAACGTGATGCAGTTAAAAGGACTCCAAAGAGACAATTAGAACCTGTTTTTAAGGTCTGGGGACCTTGGGATTAATTACTTTTAACTTTTTTCATATCGTGTGCTATTTGATTATTTCTCTTAATCCCCTTTTGTGTTAAATAGCCTTGGGGAGTTGATCTATATTTTTCATGTTTCCACTTCATGTGGAATTTGAATCTTTTGTTTGTTGCAATAACGCTGTGAATTTTTCTGTGATGCAGGCCCTTGATACACTTGGCAGTACCAAATGGAGGGTTAATAAAAGGGTACTTGGTATCATAGACAGAATATGGGCTAGTGGAGGTGGTCTTGCAGACTTAGTTGAGCGTGAAGATGTAGGTTACCTTTTCATAAGAATCCAGAATTTTTTTTTTCCTACTTTATGTTTTCGCAAAAAAAAAAAAAAAAAAAAAGAACTCGTCTTGTTCATTAAAAATTGTATAACTCCATTGTCACTTTGCAACGTCGAATTAGACATTAGGACACTGGTTTTAGTAATTATTCTTTGCAATTTTTGCCATTTTAGGTTCCTTATCCAGAGGAACCAGACACAGAAGATGAAGCAGAAATCAGGAAATGGAAATGGAAAGTTAGAGCTGTGAAGAAAGAGAACATTGAGAGGCATTCACATCGGTGTGGCACAGAACTCAAACTTGCTGTAAGATACTTTGTTAAACAAGTTCGCGTCGTGCCATGAATGTTCTGATGGATTACATATTAATGTATACATATATATTATCGTGGAGAGCAGGTTGCGCGAAAAATGAAGGATGAGGATGGCTTCTACTACCCACACAACCTTGATTTCCGTGGCCGTGCATACCCCATGCATCCATATCTGAACCATCTTGGATCTGATCTGTGCCGAGGTGCCCTGGAATTTGCTGAGGGGCGCCCTCTTGGCAAGTCAGGCTTACGATGGCTGAAGATACATTTGGCAAATCTATATGGCGGTGGAGTGGACAAGTTTTCCTATGAGGGTCGAATAGCGTTTACTGAGAATCACCTGGATGATATCTTTGATTCTGCAGACAGGCCTCTTGAAGGAACGCGCTGGTGGTTGGGTGCAGAGGATCCTTTCCAGTGCTTAGCGACATGTATTAATTTGGCTGAGGCATTGAGAAGCTCCTCTCCGGAGACTACTATTTCACATATGCCTGTGCATCAGGTATTACGGTCTGACAGTCTCAAATTTCACTCCGGGGGTATTAATCTGCAAGTGCGGTTAATTTTCTGAGGATATATATGTATGCATGCCTGTATTTATTTTTATGTGTGCGCTTGTGTATGCTCAACTACTTTGCCGCGCCTTGGATCCTAAAGTAAGGGGAAAACAAGAAAGAAATAAAGTAAATGAACCCAGCGATTTATAAACGTAAAAAGAATCTTATTAAGATTTGATCTTCTTGGTGAGGGATATCTCTGTTTCAATCACGTCTGCATGATACTGCATGCATGCACGCACGCACAAAATCAACTCAATTCAACAAGCATTGATGCCATAATTCACACAAATTCAAACATTGTTTAAGATGTGGCTCACAAAATATATGTACAGTTACCTTATGGATCCATGCTCCCACGCCATGATCTTTGGTGGCTGCCCTTTTTGACAGTCTGTTGGAATTCGGCACCATCTTCTTTTCTGTCCACAGATCAACTTTATGGCGTAGTGTTGCTACTTTTGAAGCTCAAAAAAAAAAAAAAAAAAAATCTAGTGTAACCCAGACTTCAATTTCTTACTTTCAAGTTCTTGCATTTAGATATTTTTATCCAAAACTTTTTTTGAGGTGTGTTGCTCTTCTTTCTAGGATGGTTCATGCAATGGCTTACAACCCAGACTACAATTTCTTACTTTCAAGTTCTTGCATTTAGATATTTTTATCCAAAACTTTTTTTGAGGTGTGTTGCTCTTCTTTCTAGGATGGTTCATGCAATGGCTTACAACACTATGCTGCCCTTGGAAGGGACAAGGTATGGACTTCGTTCACCCTTAAATGATATTTAGTTGTTGACTCCTGGCAATGTTGCCCCTTTTTCTGGAATGAATAACACTGGAAGATGCATCCTATTTATCTCAAGTAACAAATCTTAGTCTTCATTTCTCAAGTATGGTGGCTCGTATTCACTTATAAAAAAAACGTATGGTGGCCCTTATTCTAATGCATTTTTTAATGGTTGTTATATGAGAATAGTGCGTTAGGGCATCTGCTAAGGGGTCATAGTACTTCAAATGATTTTCCAAATAGTTTTCCCGAAGTAGCAAATTCTACTAAATCCAAATTCTACTAAATCCTTAGTTTTGTTGGCAAATTGATTCTTACCTTCCTATGCAATATTTTGTATGTGCATTTAACTGATTTTTTTTTATTATTCTGGTCATTTCTCATTTGAAATGCTCCATTTGTTCAGTTAGGAGCAGCTGCAGTCAATCTTGTTGCAGGAGAGAAGCCTGCAGATGTCTATTCAGGAATTGCTGCTAGGTAAGCTAACATTTCTAATAAGATGATTGATATTTTTTAAGGTGAGGGGGTTATTATGATTTATTTATTAATTTATTTTCTGTGTGTATGGGTGGGTGCATAGAAATGAGGTGGGATAGGAAACTGTTATGTATTGTTAATAATACTATAATTGCCATTTGCATGAGCATGCCCACTATCTTTGCCACAATCTGAGGAAACTAATTTGCAGATCTATGAAATTTTCGGGTAGAGCACCTGATTAAGTTCTCTATAAATATGCATGAGAATTGGTCTCAAATATCAGCAATAGGCGACACTCCCATCCCTGCCCTTGAGATTACTTTGACATTGATGTGTGTGGGTGGTCTCAAATATAACACTCCCATCAGAGGCAACGTTGATAGTCCCTGTCCTTGAGATTACTTTGACAGTGATGTGTGGGATATCTGGTGTCTGATATGAATTTGCGGATACATCAAGGCCCACATCATTAATAATTGCCTGGAGCTCATGATATTAGGATTACCTTTTTAAAATATACCTACTACTTATACATAACTGGAAGTGCTTGGAAAGCTAAATTATGAAGCAGTGGGCTAAGAAGCATTGTTATGGATATGGGACATGGAAACAACACGACACGGACATAGCGACAGTGCAAATCCTAAAAAATTAAGACAAACAAGGCGGGGACATGACAAATAATAAATATATATTTTTATATATATGATCATATATTATAAGAATCTAATATTATTTTTCATCAACCTGTGAATCAAAAGCCCACAAATCACAATAACTAATGAGCTACTACAATAATTCTCACTTAAGAGAGAAAAAAGAAAGAGTGGGAATGGGCTGGAGTAGAACTGCTAAACTCCCTTTATAAATTTTTCATGACTAAAACACAAAATTAAACAGAAGATTGTACTTGTAGATAGAAAGAAAGATGACTCTGTTAGGGAGAAGGAGAGAGAATCAGTTAAAAGAAAAGAAAAAAACAAAGAATAAGGGAGAATTTTGGTTTTGTTGAGGCAAAAAATTGGGCTTTGTTGATAATAAAAGAGAGAATGTGTAAGGGAGGAAAAGGGTTTGTGATGGAAAGTGGACAAAAAGAAACGAAAAATAGAGACAGATAAGGAGGAGGCTTGCTGGCAGCCAACTAGCCAAGCTTTAATGATTGGTCGTAGTGAATTCGATGGCTTGATTGCAAGAGAGAGCAAGACTCTTCTATTTGCTCTTCTTGATCTTTTACAAATTTTAAAGTAAATTGCTTGATAAATTTTAAAAACAAAAAAAAAATCTATTTTTTTTTTTTTTTAATTTTTTTTTTTGGCCTCTGTATTATTGAAACTTCTCGAAAATGGTCACATCCTTTCTAATTTAATCCTTTTTTTTAAACTTTCTAGAGAATTTCCTTTTATTTGCTGCTTGTTCGTGATGTGTCTACCTTGTGTCCATTGTGAGATGTTTTTTTGGCATTGTCCGACACATGTTAGTTCATGTCCAATGCATGTCTGTGTCTGACACGGATACTTCAACTTTTTTGGCCTGTCGTGCATTCTAATTGGTGAATGTGTGCTCCTCTTCCATCTCATTTGTGGAAGTTTGAATCTGAGTCTCTTTGCATACATGTAAAAGTTAATCTTCACATAGAAAAAAGGGTTAATTTCACTGACACCTCCTCAGGTTTTGCCAAATATCACTCTCAAACATCTTTCGAAAATAACTATCTTTTAGGTCCATTTTTACTTTTCCGTCACAGTTTCCGCATGTACCTCTTGTTTTGGATTGTGGTGGTTTGAGGTCTAGACGCACTCCTTTTAGATTCGAAAACATGTGGCTTAGATCTGAAGACTTTCAAGGGAAGGTTCAGTCTTGGTGGCAAAAAGGGTCTTTCACAGGCTCTGCTAGTTATGTGTTAACTAGAAAGCTTCAGTTTCTTAAAACTGAGCTTAAGAGATGGAATAAAGAAGTTTTTGGGAATCTTGAATGGAAAAAGAATAGAGCCCTTGCTGATATTGCTGAGCTTGATCGTTTAGCTGAGGTGGGACAGAGTAGGGAGTCTTTACGCTCTCAAAGAGCCTCTTGTCAAGCGGTTTTTGCTGAGATTGCTCATATGGAGGAGATTTCGTGGCGTCAAAAGTCTCGGGCTTTGTGGTTAAAAGATGGTGATCGGAATACAAAATTCTTTCATAGACTAGCCAATGCTCACAGAAGGTGTAATCATATCGGACGTATTCGGGTTAATGGTTCTGATTTGTGGAGAGAAGAAGATGTGCGCGGAGGAATTGCTTCTTTTTATCAGCAGCTTTACACTGAAACTTTGGATCGAAGACCTACTCTTGATGGTCTTCCATTTAATACTATTTCTGCGTTGGATAGGGATAGTATTGAGATTCCATTCACGGAAGAGGAAGTGCTTAAGGCACTTTCTAGTTGCAACGGGGACAAAGTACCAGGGCCAGACGGATTTACTATGCGCTTTTTTAAGGAGAGTTGGGAGGTGGTGCGAGAGGAGGTGATGAGCACTTTTCAGGATTTTTATTCTCATGGCACATTTGAAAAATCTTTGAGTGCATCTTTTATTGCTCTCATCCCTAAAAAGGGCGGTGCATCTGATATCAAGGATTTTCGGCCAATTAGCTTAATCGGATGTATGTATAAGCTTATTGCCAAGGTTCTTGTCTCCAGGATGAGTAAAGTGTTGGATGGTCTTATCTCAGAATCGCAGAACGCTTTTGTTGGTGGAAGGCAGATTTTGGATTCTGTTCTTATTGTTGGGGAATGTGTTGACTCTAGATTAAGAAGTGGGGTTCCTGGCGTTTTGTGTAAGCTTGATATCGAGAAAGCTTATGATCATGTTAATTGGAAGTTTGTTTTGTATCTTCTTCGGAGGATGGGATTTGGTGATAGATGGATAAAATGGATTGACACTTGTATCTCATCAGTTATGTTTTCTGTTCTTGTGAATGGCTCTCCTGCGGGTTTTTTTGCTAGCTCACGTGGTCTGCGACAAGGTGATCCATTATCTTCTTTTCTTTTTCTCATCGTTATGGAAGGTCTGACTAGATTAATGAGAAAAGCGGAAGATTTGGGTTACATTAGGGGGTTCAGAGTTGGCAGAGATGTTGATCATCAGATCCAGATTTCCCATCTTTTATTTGCTGATGATACTTTGGTATTTTGTGATGCTGATATTTCTCAACTCAGATATCTGAGGTGCACTCTTGCTTGCTTCCAAGCAGTTTCTGGGCTTAAGATTAATGTCGGAAAGAGTGTGCTTGTTCCAGTGGGGGATGTTCAAGATATTTCCTCCTTAGCTGCTATTTTAGGGTGCGGAGTTGGTTCTTTTCCTCTTCCTTATTTAGGATTGCCTTTGGGAGTTTCTTCTACTCTGGTTGGGAATTGGGATTCAGTGATTAATAGATATGAGAAAAGATTAGCAGGATGGAAAAAGCAGTATCTATCTAAGGGTGGGAAAGTCACACTTATAAAGAGTACTCTTTCATCCCTTCCTATCTATTTTTTTATCTTTGTTTCAAATTCCATGTTCTGTTGCTGATAGAATTGAAAAAATTCAGAGGGATTTTCTGTGGGGTGGAAGGGGAGAGGAGTTTAAGTATCATCTTGTTAATTGGGATCAAGTTTGCCAACCATTGAGATTCGGAGGGTTAGGCATTCGAAAAATTGTTCCTTTTAATTGTGCTCTCTTAGGAAAGTGGTTATGGCGATTTGGAAGGGAACGACATCGTCAATGGAGAAGAGTTGTCTAGTGTCGTTTTGGTGAGGGGAGTGGGGGTTGGTCATCTCTTCCAGTCACTATTACGGGAGGCGTTGGTTTGTGGAAATTTATTCGGAAGGGATGGGATGTCTTCTCTACTCTTATTAGATTCAAAGTTCGTAATGGCAGGCATGTTCGTTTTTGGGAGGATCTTTGGTGTGGCGACCAGTTGCTTTCACACTCATTTCCTAGGCTTTATAGCATTGCAACTATTAAGCATGTTTTCGTGATTGATTGTTATCATCTTGATAACAATGGAGTTACGTGGGATGTGCGGTTTAGGCGGTCTTTTCAGGATTGGGAAATGGAGGAAGTCTCTGCTTTTTTGGATATTTTGTATAGGCAGAAGGATATTGGTAGAGGGTGTGATGATATTTTGTGGGTTCCTTTGGCTCATGGTCGGTATGATGTCCGCTCTATGTTTATTCATTTATCCAATTTTGTTGGTTCTGAGTTTCCTTGGAAGTCCGTGTGGTGCTCTAAAGCCCCTCTTCGAATCGCGTTCTTCGTTTGGACAGCTACATTGGGGAAGATTTTGACTTTGGACAATTTGAGAAAGAGAGGCAACATCATTGTTAATTGGTGTTGTTTATGCAAAGATGATAGTGTATCCGTGGATCACATTCTTTTGCATTGTCCTGTGGCGTTTGGTTGTTGGAGTTTTATTTTCAGCATATTCGGCATTTTTTGGGTAATGCCTAAGCACTCCTCTCAATTGATTAACGCTTGGAAAAGCTGTCCTGTTAAGAAACAAGCTCGTGCTTATTGGAAGATTGTTCCTCATTGTGTCTGGTGGTGTTTGTGGCGTGAGAGAAATAACAGATCCTTTGAAGGAAAAGAATCGTCCTTAGCTAATTTAAAAATTCATATTCTTCGTTCTTTATTCTTTTATGTTAGAGGAAGTACATGCTCCTCGATTGATGATTTCTTTGATCTCTTGGATTCTATTGGTCCTTAGATCTTTTCTCTTGTATTAGGGATGCGTTCCCCTTTTGAACGTTTTTCTAATATATTTTTACTTATCAAAAAAAAAAAAAAACAAACATGGGAAAATACAACTTTATCCCTAATTTTTTAATCACATTTATTCCAAAAATATCATATTAATTAAAAGACAATTATACCCCTTACAATTATGCTCCTCTGGACGGCAGCCTTGGAGGCATCCATCGAATCGAGATATTCTTGGCAAAGAATAGATCAGGAACGACACTTAATCTAATTGATGCTTATCATCATCACAAACAAGAATCTAATCACAAAATTCTCCACCCCACAAACAAAATCCCTAACTTCATCATCTCTCTCCGACGATGTCAACGCCCTCTTCGAATGAGACAAATCAGATCATTAGGTAGATGGTGTTGTTGGTTGTGGCGGTGGTTCCAAAAATTGAGACTTTTCTGGTGGTGTTTTGAGTGTTGCAGAAGAGAGAGATAGTGTATAAAGAAAGTGGTGGTTGGTGGTTGGCGATAATGGGTGGTGGTGGTGGTGCCGCCGGCGACTGTGGTTACATAACCCAAACCCAGTTTTGTTTTTAGATATGTTAAGGAAAATGATATATTTTTCAAATTTGGAATAACCAAAACAAAATTTTGATTAGAAGTGAGGAACACGACCTCCAATCCAGTCCCCAAACACTTTAATTGATTATTTTGTTTGCATATTGATGTGTATGATAGAGAGAGAAAGAGATGAAGATGAATTAGGAATATAGAAAAAATAACCGGGTTGGAAGCAGTGGTGTGGTTCACAACAGCAACTTCAGGTGACAGAAGCGGCAACATGGTTTAAGGCGACGTCGAGATAGTGACGGTAGGGTGGATGATTTAGGGCTTGATTTATGAACGATTTATAGATAATATGGGTTACAATTGGTTTTGGGAGCTCTGCGATCCATTGATGGATCTGAATTACCAGAGAAGAGGTAGCGTCGAGAGCAATCCTGTAGGTTTCACATACCAAGAAATCAATGGACTATCTTATTTGCAGATGCTTCCAATTAAAGGTTCAAACCAAAATTCCTAGGATTTTATCGTAACTGTAATCTAGTTTGTTCAAATTGGGTTTATAGTATATCCATTAATTGGGTTAATAATTTCAGGCCTGAGAACAAGACGTAGGACCTTCAAATCGGAATATATGGAGTTTTACAGCATATGATGATATATATATATATAAGAAAAAAATAAAGATATATAATATAATATGTAAATTTACAAAATAGTTAAGGATTAAAATTGATTTAAAAGGTCTATCTTGAATCTTCAAAAATATGTGAAGTACTCACGTTGAACATGACTCTGGCATAGGAATGGGCATGGATACATATCCGGCATGTCTATTGTTGGACATGTGACCAGCTGGATGTGGTAGTATTATGTTCAATTTTTTTTTTTAAAAGGCCACATAAGACATTTTAATGCAAATAAAATGCTAAAGGTTAGGTTCTTATCCGATCAACCCCTCCTAACACCCTTGATTAACGGGAACCACCCGGAGTAATGAGCCTTTACAAGAAATTCTAATATGTTCCTTTGTTATATGGTTACTTCAAAATGGGCAACATATTTGTTTGAAAACACGGCGTTAAAAAAATACACCATATTTGTATGAGAAAAAAAGAAGAGACACTAAATACTTTGGCTATTTTTTTTGTGGGCCAAGTCCTTGAATTTTGGGATCTGATGAGAAATTGGCATTTGAACACATGCCTAACATGTAACCAACTGGACGTGGTAGTATTTTGAACATTTATTTTTAAAATTCCACAGAAGACATTTTAATGCAAATAAAATGCTAAAGGTTAGGTTCTTATCCAATCTACCCCTCCTAGTACCCTTGATTACTGGGAACCCCCCGGAGTAATAACCCTTTACAAGAAATTCTAATATGTTCCTAATGTATTTGTTTGAAAACACGATGTCATATAAATACACCAAATTTCTATGAGAAGAAAAGAAGAGACAATAAATACTTTGGCTATTTTTTTTGTGGCCCAAATCCTTGAATTTTGGGATCTGATGAGCAATTGGCATTTGAACACATGCCTAAATGGCACATGTACGCATTCCATGTAGCAGAGGTAAAGGTAGACATTAGAAGGGGTCCAGTGATGAGAAACAATATATTGGAAATTTAATTTGTAGTCTTGAGAAAAATCCTCCTCCATGGACAGGTAAATCACATAAAGGATTGGCTGTAGGTTTTAGCTTCTTTTGTGAAATAAAGTATCCGTTATTCGGGGAAAGCTGCAGAGAAAGCAGATTAGATTTTCTTAAAAGATTTAGAAAACCATAACAAAATGGGCAGCAAGAAATACTAGACATACAAAGCATCATAAAAGAAATACAACTATCAGTTACCCCCAGAAATAACATGGGAAATTATTAGAAGGGGTCTAGTGATGAGAAACAATATATTGGAAATTTAATTTATAGTCTTGAGAAAATCCACCTCCATGGACAGGGAAATCACATAAGCAACAGATGATTGGCTGTAGGTTTTAGCTTCTTTTGTGAAATAAAGTATCCGTTATTTGGGGAAAGCTGCAGAGAAAGCAGATTAGATTTTCTTAAAAGATTTAGAAAACGATAACAAAATGGGCTGCAAGAAATGCTAGACATATAAAGCATCATAAAAGAAATACCACTATCAGAGGTAAAGGTAGACATTAGAAGGGGTCCGGTGATGAGAAACAATATATTGGAAATTTAATTTAGTCTTGAGAAAAATTCTCCTCCATGGACAGGGAAATCACATAAGCAACAGAGGATTGGCTGTAGGTTTTAGCTTCTTTTGTGAAATAAAGTATCCGTTATTTGGGGAAAGCTAGATTTTCTTAAAAGATTTAGAAAACGATAACAAAATGGGCAGCAAGAAATGCTAGACATATAAAGCATCATAAAAGAAATACCCCTATCAGAGGTAAAGGTAGACATTAGAAGGGGTCCAGTGATGAGAAACAATATATTGGACATTTAATTTATAGTCTTGGGAAAAATCCTCCTCCATGGACAGGGAAATCACATAAGCAACAGAGGATTGGCTGTAGTTTTTAGCTTCTTTTGTGAAATAAAGTATCTGTTATTTGGGGAAAGCTGCAGAGAAAGCAGATTAGATTTTCTTAAAAGATTTAGAAAACCATAACAAAATGGGCAGCAAGAAATGCTAGACATACAAAGCATCATAAAAGAAATACCACTATCAGTTCCCCCCAGAAATAACATGGGAAATCATTCCGAATTAAATCTCAAGTTTGATCTGGTTTGTCTTCTGTATTTTGGCTGAAGTACAGATGATCATATTGGAACTTCATTAGTGATTAAGTATGTAGTCAAATAGCGCATATATTTTTCACTCGCTATAGAAATTTCATTAAGTTTTTAAAGTTCTTGTTTTGTTGCATTTCATACTGTTGCCTCTAAAACCTGGCTGAGATGATGAGGTAAATCCTTGTTCATGTACTTTGAAACAACAATTCTATAATTGAACTGATTGTTGCCATACTCCAAAATCTAGTAAAAATGGAATTAGTTTATATTTGACTTATGTGAATGTAGGCAAATATAATTATAATTCCCAATTTTTGATTGTATTTAGTTGCCCAAGTGGTTCAAAATTGTTACCATCCAGGTTACTCCTGGTACAAGCTAGTGAATTTTGCCTGAAATGTAGATCATCTCTGATACGTTGGAATTTTTATGTTGCAATGCAGAGTTCTTGATATCATGCGGAGAGATGCAGAGAAAGATCCTGCAACTGATCCTAATGTATTACGTGCCAGGCTATTAATCAATCAGGTTTCATTTTTCTCATGTTCTTTTAATTTAAATGGTGTTATCATATTAATAAGATAGCAAAACTGAACTAGTTGCGTGATACTTGTGTTTCCTTTGTTAGGGCCACAATAATTCTTTAGCTTTTCCAATGATTCAGCCAATTCATTTATGTTTTATAGAAAATTTGGTAGCTCTGCCTTCCTCTCGTCAGAATTCTTTTCCTGCTTATACCTGCAGGCATCTGATTGATGTTGTATCACTAATACCTTTATAATTATGATTCCTCAGGTGGACAGGAAATTGGTTAAGCAAACAGTGATGACATCAGTATACGGTGTCACTTATGTTGGTGCCCGTGACCAAATCAGCAAGAGGCTCAAGGAACGTTGTGCTATTGATGATAGTCAGCTGTTTGGCGCATCTTGTTATACAGCAAAAGTAAGAACACATAGCTGCTGTATTCTGCAGCTTTCTTGAGTTTGCTTTTATCTCTGATAAAATAACTATAGTTACACAATGTTGAGAAAATGATTGATCACTATGAAATTATCTTTCTCCATTTGTGTGGACACATGTTAATGAAGGTTTGAGCTTAATTATATTCCATTGAATGAGCAGATCACCTTGACTGCCTTGGGAGAAATGTTTGAATCTGCACGAAGTATCATGGGTTGGCTTGGTGACTGTGCAAAGGTGTGTTTCATTTTAACTTGTGATTTTATCATAGTAAAATACATTTGTCCAGACTCTACTATCAATAACTGCATGGGCAGTTCATGTGCGTGGATTAGGGGTTTTAATATACTGTATTATAGGTTACCTATGGAGGTTATGGAAATAAAAATCCTGAACTGATGATTGTATTAAATGAATGTATGCCTCCTAGTATAGTTTATCATTCATTTTAAATAGTTCTATAATATGGTTTGTTCTGATATTTCTATTTGCTTCCTATTGGACATAGTGTTCTTTAGTAAAATTTTACAAAGTCCCCATGCATCTTTATCCCCGAGACTATAAACTATGGTTCACAGTTGCAGCCCTAGACTTGGACGCAGACTTGGTGTAATAGAATCAGGCTCATATCGGCGTAATGCAATGGAATCGGTTATTGCAGTCGTGAATTATTTTTGACCTTGCACATCAGGATCAAAATGTACTGATACGCAACTATATAAAATCTAATTCGCTAAAGATGATTAGTTAGTGGAATTTAGTGAATTTTTTAAGACCATTTAACATGAGTAATAACCAATTTATGAAAATGATATAAAATTAGAAATTAATGACAAAATAAAATTAATTATGAAATAAATGAATATTAATCGTACCATATATAACATGTGAGAATTAAAAAACAGAAAACAAAATTAAAAAAAAAAAATCAAAAAATCAAAATGAATTAAAAATATCATTTTTTCTACATTTAAATCAATTAAGCCTAAAATATGTGTGATTTTATGGTAAAAATATAAAATAAATTAGGCACATAATATGTAATTTGTAATAATTAACTAGCTAAAGGGTCTTTATTCAATAAATACGAAAGGAGTCCTAAATAGGACGAGATGATGGGTGGATGGGTGGCAGGAGCACTCCGCTACTCACAAAAGGTGCCAGGTTCAAACTTCAGGGAAGTTTATTTTTTATTTTCAGACCACTAGCAAGTGCGGTCAAATTTTGACCGTCAACTTAGGGAATGATGACTGAAGATTCCGCAATTTAGTGGCCGCTAAGCACCAGAATTGGCCAGTTTGCGGCCAAACTGGGCGGTTCTTGTGTGGATATGAATACCAACCGGTATATCGGTGAACTGGTCTAACGGTGGCTCATAAATCCATTGCGAACTGGCCAATTTTACTGAACCAATGCTACAGACCATTCATAATTATTATTTTTCAGTCTTCTTCTTCTTCTTATTATTTGGTAAAGACCATTTATAATTACTTCTATAACATAGAAATCACTTGGTTGTTTTGATCAAAGCATTATAATGATGAAATTGTATATGTAATTGCGGATAGTGGTAAACATTGTTGCTGTTGAACTTTGAGTGTTGAGAATTCCGTGCTGCAATTACAGTCCAAACTTTTGTCACCCTATGAGCAGATAACTGGGCTACCCGTTTTCTTTTTGCAGTATTCCCACGACAACAAATTATAACCGCAAATTAGTTATCTAATAAAGTTCACTTTTATGATTTCAAATTTAAAATTTCTACTCCTGGATTCATACATTATATTGTTTTAGGTGGAAACAACTAAAGCTTTGTTGTTTAGGCATTCGGGAATCAGAACCAACATGCAATGCCTTCAGAGTAGAGAATTTAAGGCTATTTGCTTTGATGTCATTTTCTCTCGCACTGAAAAAAAAAAATCTCTTACACTGGAGGGAGGTTGATTGATTTAGGTTTCATAGCCAATAAATTGTGCACTTTGATAGTTTTGTTTTGTGATTTATATGGAAAAAATGAGGGACTTTTGAGGTCCAAGACAACTCTGGGTTAGGAAGTTTGTGACATGTGTTCTTTCTTTTTCCTTATTTACTATCATTGTAATATACATGTATTATTGTGGGTTCGCTTGTGGGAAAATTATGGTTTAGTCCCATGTTTGCATGTAAATAGGGTTTTCTGGTGGTAGGAATTGGTTTTCACATTGACTGAAGTTTTCTGGTGGTAGGGTTTTCAAAGTCTTCTTAATATGGCTGACTGAACTGTGGAACTTAAGGAAAAATTTCTAGGTCCAGGTTGGGTAAAGAAGATGAAGACCCTTTTGTTGGTTGAGATGTCACTGGGGTACATTTTTCTAAATTTTGTGGAGGTCTTGGTGATGGTCCTTTGTTCCTGAGGTTTCAAGACTGGGTACATTATGTACCACACACTATGTTTTGGACAAATTCAAGGTCTGTAAGCTGGTTGAGTATTCAACACAGCTACTCGAATGCCCTTGTTGCCCCTTACAAGAACCACTGCGGGGACCTGGAGGGGTGGGAAGGAGTGGGGGGTGGGTATAAGGAAGAAGTAGGACAAATTTGAGGAACAATATGCTGCAAGCTAATGATGACACAGTTCACAATTGATGTAGAACATAACTAAAGAGTTTGTTTAGGCTAATTTGAACCAGTTTTTTGAGGCTGAAAATGCCGGTAAAGATGCTGAATATCAAGGTTGGAGTGTGGTGGAGTAGGTTTTCCGAGATCATGAAGGCATTATCTTGAAGGTTGCAGCTCTGAGTTTCCCATCTTCTGATGCATGCATGTCTGAAGCAATTACTTTGAAGAAAGCTGTAATTATGTCCTTGGAGTTTGGCTTCTCACGGGTTTGCTTTGAGGGTGATTCTTTGATTGTTAGCAATGTAGTCTCCAATAAGAGCAAGGGTCCAGTTTAAATCCAAAATTTAGTAGCAGACATTTTAGAGCATCTTTATGCATTACACAATTTTCTGTTAGCCACTCTCTAAGAGGGGCTAATATATGCTGTGGCTCATGAAGTTGCTAAGTATGCTTCTAGATCAGTCATTGGTATGGATAGGGTTTTGGATTGTATTCCTTTAGACATCCAATCTGCTGCTGACAAAGATTGAACTCTGTTTTCATCTTAATATATGTTTGTTTTTCCAGGAAAAAAAAACATAGATCTGGTTCTGGTTGTTTTGAAGGCTTAAAAATGCAGAAAAATGGAAGAGAAGAACAAATAGAGAAACTGATTGATTCCTAAGGTCCCTTATATGTTACATGTGGGGTTTGAATTGCATCACACAATCCAGAAATAGCATAACTGCTAGAAAATTTCTCTAAAGGGCTTTCTACTTCTAATAGGTCTTGGACTCCTTATTAGAAATTAGGACACTTCGAATAGTAAACCTTACTGAATCATACAGATAATTATTCAATATTCTAATCTGGTCATATTAGTGTACAGATAGTTATTCAATATCTAATCTGTTCCATAATATGACCCATTGACCCTCCTACAATCCACGTCCAACTAATTTTGAGATTACAAAAATACATTTAAATCAAAAACATTAGTAAGATAAATAAAATTATACTAGAAGTGAACTAGTATAATACAAATAAAACATAAAATATGGCTTGACGCAGTCTAAACTTTATTCTAAGAGATCCCCAGTGGTTCTTGGCTTGACATTGACCAAATTCTGAAGTTTCTCTTGTTGAATTTGCTTTTTTTTGAACTTCTTACGGACTGCATATCTTTGGTAATTGTTCAAAGAAACTGACATCCAAGCTCATAGTTCTATTGTTCAAGTTTGGACCCATTGGTCTTGTCAACTTTTTAGTTGTCCTTTGCTAGTCAAATTAGCTTTGAGAGATCAATGACGCATTCTAATCTTCACTTTCTCGAGGCCTTGTGAATTATGATTGCGGGTTGGTGACTAAAGCATTGCAATGACCTTGTCACATTTTTGTTTTAATTTCAATGTAATGCATGTGTTCGTCAACCTTAATCACACTAGTTTGGCCCTCTTGCACGGTAGCACTCGTCTTTTAACTTCATGTTTGTTGAAATGTAAAATCATTCTTTTATCTGAGGTTTTGGATACAATGTCTAACTTATTGACCATGGATACCTTTGGCATGCCTGACCCATAAATATTGCAATGACCTTGTCACATTTTTTTTCCCAATCTCAATGTATGCATGAATTCGTCGACCTTAAGCACACTGGTTTAGCCCTTTTGAACTGTAGCACTCTTGTCTATTAACCTTCTTGTTTATTGAAATGTTGTATTATAGTTGTTTTATCTGATGAGGTTATGGATACAATGTCAAACTTTTTGACCCTTGGGATCATCATTAAGTAGCCTTCATTCTTTTTATTTTTTGCTTCTTTTATATTTGCATCTGGTGGTGTTCATTTACTTTGGTGATGGCTAAAATTAAACATGCACAGGTTATAGCTACGGAGAATCAATCAGTAAGGTGGACTACTCCCCTTGGACTTCCTGTTGTACAACCGTACCACAAATTAGGAAGGCATATTGTAATGTTCTAAGACATTCAAACTTCAGAAAATTCAGTATCTATATTCCAATACTATCTTCTCAATGGAATACAAAACCCTTTTTGTTTCTTTTTCATTAATTTGCTTGTTGAATTGGATGCAGATCAAGACATCTCTTCAGGTGTTGACACTACAACGAGAAACTGATAAGGTGTTTCCCCCCTTTCTTTTATCCCTTTTTGCTTTATTGGTCTTACTGGTTAAGAGGCTATAAATTTGCTGTAATTTGTAGAGATGTGATGAAATTTGCTCTCATTTTGCTTACATGTTTCCTTCCGTACTTTTTTTTGGATGAATTACCCCGACCTTCCATGAGGTTTGTGCTTTTTACCCTTTAGATTAAACATTTTGAAAAATCACTCTGACCTCCCCTATCAGTTTTAGAACCGTTGACTGACACAAACAGATAAAGCATATTAACTATGTTACCCTATTGCATAAGCATCAAAATTACTGATGTTTTACTGATGTAATGAAGAGATTTTTGAAATTGCAACTTTACCCCTGATTGACCATAATTTTGACCAAACCTCTAGGGAGGTTAGGGAATTTTTCGTGTGTAAATTATTGGATATTTTGCATTGTAAAATTATTGGAAATATCCAATTATCAGTGAAGTTTTTGAGTTGTGATCTTTTCATTATATTATAAGCCCATCTTTCATTTCATAACATTCTCCATAGTCGTCAGCATCATTGTGAAGCCTTTCAAGCACCAAATCTCAACACTTTGTTCCCCTGTTTTTAACTTTTTATAGGTCTTGGTTAAGCGGCAGAAATCAGCATTTCCTCCAAATTTTGTTCACTCACTTGATGGTTCCCACATGATGATGACTGCTATCGCCTGTAAAGAAGCAGGCTTAAATTTTGCAGGTTTTGTAGTGCTCTCTCTCTCTCTCTCTCTGTGGGGGTGTGCTTGTGCTTGTGCACACAAGGTATGCCAGACTCGCCAGTACTTCTAACTATTTTGAGCCCAATATCTGATTTACAGGAGTCCATGATTCATACTGGACACATGCATGTGATGTTGACAAAATGAATGGGATACTCCGAGAAAAGTTTGTCGAACTCTATGAGGCACCCATTCTTGAGAATGTAAGTAGCTGTATTTTTACCTTCTTCAATGTAGAAAGCCCACCCACTTCAGTATAATTTATTGTTTGCTTTGTTTATGGTGCCTACACTAAGTTTGCCTGAATATCTTTGACGCCGTAATCCACTCAACAGGAAAGAAAAATAAATTTTAGTAATTTAAAAGGGTTATTACCCAGTGTAGTCTCCGTTAGATGAGAGGGTATTAGGAGAGTGATAGACCTATCCCTTGGCATATTTGCACAAAGTGGCTGCTCACAAAATTCAGACCCTTGTTCTCATGCTTGACAATTTAATGATTGTTCTTTTGTTTCATAAAAATCATTTCTATACACTTTGACAGACAGCTTATCGTTCAGTTGGTTCCTGTAGGCTAAGTTTAATCTAGAAAAGAGTTTTCTCGAGGATTCATGTCGAAGTTATTTTCCTCTGCATTTTAATAGCATGGGGATAAGTGGGACATGTGAAAGTATAATGGTTACTCTTTGAACTTAGAAGCCCTTTTATGTTATGAATTTCTTAAAAAAACGATTTAAGTTGCATCAAACAAAGCCCCATGTTTCTATCCATAGGAAACAAAAATAAACAATAAATTGAACTAGTAAATTCTTTTCTATTTTAAGTGAAATTCACCCCTACTTCCTAGATATTTATTGTTCTTTTTATTTGAGAGATTATATAAACATTTTTGCAATAGTTTGATATCTTAATTTTCTTAAGTTCTTTTTGGTAGGTATGTAGATTCATATAAGTTTCTATTAATTAATATAAACACCAATTATTTATATATTTTTTATACTGAGTGTTGTACTTATTAATGGTCATGACCTTGAATTTTTGAAGTTCAGAAATATTTTGAACTGAGAATCTGCATTTAGAAGGTTATAAGATTATTAACTTCTTTGATTGTTGCTTTTGTGCAGTTGTTAGAGAGCTTTCAGAAGTCCTTCCCTACATTGAAGTTCCCTCCCTTACCAGAGCGAGGGGACTTTGATTTAAAAGAGGTGGTGGAGTCTACCTACTTCTTCAATTAACTTGAGAAGATGCTTCATTTTAGCAGTTGTGTTGCATCTCCGCCTCCGTCATTCAATGACCAAGTGAATGCAATATTTGTATTCTTTGATTCAATGGCAATATAAATGGCAAATCCTCCATCGCTATATATATTAGTAAAGGTGAAAGAGAGAAGGGAATCCAACTTAGAAAGTTGCTGCCCTCCATTTTGTACATAAGTAGAAATATGTGTTCAACGGTTCAACCATTAGATACTGGTTATTCCCTTTCAAATCTGCATATTGCGGACTCAGTTCCATGCTCTGGGCTATATTCTAGTCGATAGGGTTTGAGATGATAGGGGTGGCCCTCGTTTGGTGCAACGCCCTTGCAGCAGGAAAAGACAGTTGTAATGCACAAGATGTGGCAGCAGCCGGAACAGTAAATAGAGGAAAATGAAGTTTCAGCAGCTAGTCAATTGATTGAAGCACTGCAGCCATTGTGGACTTGTTCAAGAAAACTGCAGAGAGAGAGAGAGAGATAGCAAAGTAGATGTTGGCTTGTGTTCTTGTAATACTTCATTTTTACCTTTGTACCATTTGTTTAGCGGGACGTGGACATTTTGTTTAGGGATTTGTTGAGGCTTTTCTATTTCCTACTACAATATTTGTTTGGATGTCCTGAATTAATAAAATAAAATTTTATAGTGATATGAAAGAGATAAAACTAAAGTTGATAATTTGAAGACCTCTGAGCTATTACCAAGTCCTCTCATTATCTTAGCCTGTTCTAGTTTTTATCTTCTGTAAATGGAAAGACAGAAATCTGACTGGATTTAATAGAAACATACACACTGATGTTTTATCTAGTGAAGAAGCTAGAATGCAAGTAATATATATATATATATATATATATATATATATATATATTTTGGCTTCTTAACCGAGTTATAAACTTAAATTTTATAAATTACTGAAAGTTGGTGTTCTAAGTTGCTTTTGAACTATGGAAGTTCACTGGCCTCCATTGATCAAACGGTTTACACTGTAACAGAGAATTTCAGAATTCTAAATGGCTTAAATTGCACGATAAGATTGGTAAATAAACGGACCTTGCAAGATGGGTCGGTGTTCATGTAGACTTTTTAATTTCACAATGATAAAAGACACTAAAAAGCGTGAGTCGACTTAAGTCACACAGTAAAAGGTGTGCGTCGACTTAAGTCACACAAAGCGAAAATGAGTGCAAGAGCGAAAAAGTGATAGAATCTAAATTACACAGAGTTAACATGAAAGCGGTCTGTACCCGTTTAGAAGAATTGTGCGACAAGAATATCTCAATTACACAGAGTTAACAAGAGAGCGGTCGGTACCCGTTTAGAAGAATTGTGCGACAAGAATATCCACTATCAACACACAGTTATTGTAATCCAATCTCAAGCCATAAGTTGCACAATACAAAGGGCACATATATGGTATCTGAGGACACCTCAACTTAAGCATTGAGTTTGTGTTCCACTAATGGAGACATCAACTTGTATATTCAGTTTCTTCTCCAATTATCGAATTCACAAACCTACCCAAAGTAAAATGATGTAGAAATCTCAGCACTGTCTTGTCTTGATCTGCTAATTAAGGATGTCAAGAGAGATCATGAATCCAGGATGCAGCCGTCTTAAACAGTGCGTGGGCATTACTGTATATGGCCACAAAATTTGCAAACACGGCAAGACCAATCATGAAAACAGACAACATCTTATCCTTTTTTGTAGCTATGCCATGAGGATCCCTGAAATGTGGAGAGCAGAAGTCAGATGACAAATAGAATAATAACCTGGGCAGCAACAAAACTTAGCAAATAGAAGCAATTTGTTTATGTTATTGTTGTTGTGGTAAGTAAGACACTCGCATTCCCCAGTTATTACCCCTAAGGGGGACTTAAACCGTCACCGTCCACTTGGAAAGTAGAGGAGATACAATAGACCTAAGCTCTTTGTGGTTTAACTTATGCATGGAAGTAAAAGGCCTACACACTATTCCAGGTGGTTTGACTTTATGCATGGAAGGTATCAGATTTGAAACCAATACAAAAACGGTCACCAGTCCGGAACAATTCAGTGGTACTTTAAATAGGTTATATCACTTCAATATTACTACACGTGAATTTCAACCAAATGGGAGAACACAAGGCCTGAGTCATGTTTGTCGAGAAGGGGGACACTGGACTTGTTGCAATGCGAAGGGTTTTAAATTCCATTTGAAAGGGGCAGGAGCCTAGTACCAAATTATACTTCCACCAACAAGTACGGGAAGAAATAAAGATTATCCATCCCTTTGCCTTCGAGTTTCTGCAGATCAGTCACATGCACAGGCTGTGCCATATGTCATCCATCATCAATTTTCGAAATTGGCAGTGCATTTTAGTAACACCAAAAAATTGTATTACAAAATCTGGCCAAAGCTTTCAGCTGTTGCAATTTTTATTATTGTTTACTTATTATTAGTATTATTATTATTATTATTTTTTTTTTGTAGACCAAGAGTCACATAAAATTATCAACTATGATGACCTTTGCTGTGCCTACAGTGTTTTCAGCAATCCGAAGTAATTTCTAACATTAGACATATAAAATGATAAAAACAGCACATTTACCAATTTCCAAACCACAAGGATACTCACCTTAAAGCAATTGCTGCAGGAAAGATGAACCCAAGGCAAACTGTAGCAGTAGCTCCAGTGAACTGGAAAGCATCCCAGATGCTGGGTACATAGTTTGCACCCAAGAAGATGAGAGAAATGAGACCTATGCTGATCAATGAAAATCGATGATTACTCAACACTAAAGGCCTGGCAGAGGGAAAGAGCATAGCATCGAAACTGATGCGCAGTGGATAGAAGATGATGGGGAAAACAAGCATGAGATGGAGGGCATAACTAACACGAACAGCATCGTTGAGCAGAGAGCTATAAGGGATGCCAAGGTTGGTGTCAAAGTTGGCCAGCACATCATCAAGAGTTGAATCACCAAATAGAAGGAACCCAAAGAAGCTTATCATTATGTAAATAATTGAGCACATAGCCAATGAAGTTCGCACAACAGATTGCATTAATGAAGAGTCCTTGAGTTCATTGCCAATTGTGTGCACTGCAACATATTGTAGTTCTCATGTAAACCAGACATCCATATGGTTCTATCAAAGCAAAATAGTTGTCCAGGATTGCATCAAAATGCCAAAGTAAATAAATGTGAACCTATCTGGGACATCAAAAATTCAATTTCTAACCCATCCTACCATGTTTTGTTGTTGATATATAATAACAAACATATATAAGTCAAATGAAAAAAACAAGATATGCAGCACAGAATTTTAGCAAAGCAATCACTACAAGCCTCCCCAAGTGAGCTGAATGGCATGTTACCTAGAATATTATCAATGCCACGGAAGGAGAAAGGACTGAGAGCCTTGCCAGCTGTAATAATCACTTCTACAATGACATAGCTTCTTCAAAAATTATGCAACTCTATACACCTACCTGATCTGTTCTTTGATAATAATCATGAACCTCTATAATGGCATCTTTGGGTGAATGGTATTGTCCATACCAATAGTGCTTTCAACATTTCATAAGAAGAATTTTTTCAACAATAATTTTGTTTAGAATGTCAAGTTGTCAAAGACCATGGAGGTATCAATAAATACTCGGATATTTTTCATTTTTAGAGGTTTTAGTTGGCACAATACGATTCCTTGTTAAAAAAACATAGTATCAGAATGCCAAATAAGAAAATGCTCTTCTAGTCAATTAGAGGCTAGACTGTTCAAAGATAGTAATACAGTTATGTACTGGATATTTATTCTGAACCCACAAGTGATAATGCACTTTTTAGTAATTGATTATGTAAATGAAAATATTAAATAGAATCTCATACAAAAACTGCCAACACAATCTTACATGAACAAAATTTGTTAATCACCAAACAAACAAATAAATACATAAAAGAAGATTTATGCAATAAGCATGTGCGGAGGTGACACTACAAGGAAGAAAGCTACATTCAAAAAGAAGTTAGAGATGACAAGATTATCAACATCTAGTTAAAATAACCTAATATATACACTTGAATCTAGTCACTTTATCACAATAGATCAACTTGATTACATGAAAGCTCACAAGCCATCACTTGATCACAACCATCACATACCATAAAGCAATTGCTATACAATTATCACAAAGTTCATTACCAACATGGGAAAGATATTCTTTCCTTCTCACTTTTCCATTGTGTGCCTAGTGCTCAATTTTAAGAATGCTGTGAGAAATCCTAAACAAGTGTAGTCATATGTAAAATCAATATCCTGATTACCAAAAAATGAGGGGTTAACGGATGGAGTATTAATAAGTTTAACATAACCAGAACACTCGGAAAACTATTCGCTCAAATACCTAGCTTAATTCCTAAATATCATGCCCTGGAGAGTAGCATCAAGTCTCTTTTTTTCATTGGCAAGAAACACACTTACACACCCACTTTTTGTCCTATGGAGACTCGAACCCATGACCTTCTACTTTGAAACGTGAGGAAGTACCATCAGGCTATAAGGCCTTTGATGAATAACATTAAGTCCTTGGTGTGTCTTAACACTCTCCTTCACATAAAATTGACAAAAATGATATAGAGTGATGTCAACTCTCCACAAAATACTAAGTTATTGCCAATGTGTGTATGTTATGGATATTGCCATCTTGCATACCATTGTAGTGGCAGATATATGATGTCACAATAACAGGGAATGCAGTAAAGAGATTCCAGACCGAATGGATATCCGTAATCTGAGGCAGCATTCTGGGCATTGCAATACTTCCATCTAGTAATTTATAAACAGTGATTCCTGCAGTAATAACTAGAAAAACAACTGCCAATGCGACTGCCAAGGCAGATGTGAATCTCAATGAATCTGCAAGAATAAAAAGACACCATTTATTTACAACATAAAATTGTAACAATATCAACCAAAGATAAAGTTCAATTGCTGAAAATCCTCAAATTCATAAAGAAACTAATGGTTATTGATGAACAAACAGTGAGAAACAACAAAAACAACAATGTGCATGAGTTCTCCTAATAAGCATTTCTACAAACACAATACAGACTTAAAAGTTCAACCCAAGTGAAATTTTCTAAAACACATTGTATGTAAAAACACATAAGCTATTATGAAACCAATTAAATGTTGCTTAAAAACACATAAGCTTTTGTACCCAAATGATATGTATACCAATAAACTCCACATGCACAATAATTACAGCGAAAATTAACTGGGACAAGTCTTACCAATCCGCTTTAAACATGCCAATGGAGCAAGCACAAGAAGAGTTGTTACAAGAAGAACAACGGTACGCCCAGTCCACCAATGTTCCCCAAACCATCCTTCCAGCACACCAGCATGATGAATCCCACTTGAAGATGTCCCAGATAGCACATCACCTTCCCAAATCAAAAATCAAAAACCCATAAAAAATCTATACATACACATACAAATGCACATTACAAATTACATAAATCTATATGTATATATATACACACACACACACACACAAGTATGCATGTGTTTCTCAATTTCATCATAGTGCTTTATTTGAGGTGGAGAAATCTTTAGTGAAGGTGGAGCTATGAAGAGATCCTTGTTCGAGGTGGAGCACGTACGTGAAGACATATATTGATCACGTGTTGATTACATGAAGAATTGGAGAGTTCAAAGTTGTGGATTTTAAGTTGAACCGGTTCAAATGGGGCTGTACCGGTTCAACTTGGACAGTGAGTTATTGGAAGCTGCGAGAAACAGTTTTCTAATTGGTTTTGGAATCCGTAAGCCTTGGGGAAAAAAGCGAAAGATTTGGGGAAGAAGTTGTACATCTATTTTAGAGTTGGAGACTGGTACGGTGACTCCTTGTAGGCAAGTTAATCCTTGTCCAACAAGGATTTAAGTTTGAAGACTCTATAAATAGATATGGGTATGAGAGAGAAAATTGTAGAGAGAAAAAGAAAGTTGAGATTGTGAGAGAGAAAATAGTGTGTAATTAAGTTTTTGAAGTAAAGTTAGTCGTTCTTCGCCCGTGGCCTGGGCAATTTGCTAAACCACGTAAATCTCGTTTTTTGATTGTGTGTGATTTTTTATCTGTTATATTTGCCAATTATGAGTGTGAAACCCTAACAACTGGTATCAAAGCCATGGCAACAACTATTACAGATGGAAAGTACGTGGTCGAGAAGTTTGATGAAAGAAAGAACTTCAGTCTTTGGCAAGTTCGGATGCGGGATTTACTGATTCAGCGTGGTCTAGAAGATGCTTTGGGTAAGCAACTAGAAAAGACGGAAGATGCAGATTGGGCGAAAATCAACTTGAAGGCAATAAGTGCAATTCGATTAACATTGGCGGATGATATTGTGTTTGATGTGATAAAAGAAGATTCAACAGCGGACATGTGGAAGAAGTTAGAGAATCTGTATATGGGAAAAAATCTCACCAACAAGTTAGTTTTAAAGCAAGAGTTGTATTCCTTCAAGAGAAAAGATGGGGTAAGCCTTCAAGAACATCTTGGTGAGTTCAACAAAATTATTTGTGATTTGTCTAACATTGATGTCAAGTTCAGTGATGAGTATAAAGAAATTAATTTGTTAACGTCTGTAAGTTCTACTCATAAGCATTTATTCAATACTTTGCTTTATGGGAGAGACACTATATTGGTGGAACAAGTTAAGAGTGCTTTGTTCTCTAATGAAAAGTTGAATGATGAAGAGAGTTGTGATGCTCAGGCTCAAGTTCTTATTACTCAAGAGAAGAAGAGATTTGGAGCTTCAAGAAACCTTGTGCCATTGTCAGAGAAAAGATGCTACAAGTGTGGAAGAAAGGGGCATATTTAGTGGTATTGTCCAGAAAGAAAGGAGAGCATGCCGTTGTTGTGTCTGAAGATACGAAAGAAGAGAGTGATAATGATGAAGCATTATCAATCATTGATAATAAGAGAGAAGCTAAGGAATGGATAGTTGATTCTGCTTGTTCCTTTCAAGTGTGTCCTCATAAAGAATGGTTTGCTACCTACAAACCTGTAGGTGGTAAGGTATTTATGGAAATAATGTCTCTTGCGATATTATGGGAATTGGAACAATTAAAATCAAGACAACGAATGGTTTGGTAAGAACTCTAACCTGTAGGTGGTAAGGTATTTATGGGAATAATGTCTCTTGCGATATTATGGGAATTGGAAGAATTAAAATCAAGACAATGAATGGTTTGGTAAGAACTCTAACGAATGTACGCCATATTCCAAATGTTAGAAGGAATGTGATCTCTATGGGAGTATTGGATTCCAAAGGTTGCTGGTGTGAAGTGAAAAATGGATTGATGAAGATTAAAAGAGGGGCACGTGTCATGCTTTTGTGAAGGAAGGAAAAAATCTCTATATTCTGTTGGGAAATACTATGCTAGGTGGAGCAATTGCAAAGACGGAATGAAAGCCTGTTTCGAGATCCACTATAATAAATAATCAAGAACAATAAGAGAAGGAAGAAGTCTTGACAATTGCAAGAGCACCAGCCTTTATCCCAAAAGCAAGAAGAGTTCAATTTGGTGATGCGAATGTAGATTCCAAGTCTAATTATTTGAACTTGGAATTCGCTAAGAATAGATGAGTATAGTGGTGCAATGAAAAATGACAAGAAGAAGAATGATGAATTTGAGAAAAAGTGGAGATTGTTAGAGTGTTTCTCAATTTTATCATAGTGCTTTATTTGAGGTGGAGAAATCTTTAGTTAAGGTGGAGCTATAAAGAGATCTTTGTTTGAGGTGGTGCACGTACGTGAAGACATATTTTGATCACGTGTTGATTACGTGAAGAATTGGGGTGTTCAAGTTGGTTCAAGTCATGCCCGTGTAGTTTTTTGGCTTTCGCTACTGCCAAGGTTGAACCGGGTTTAACTTGGACAGTGAGTTATTGGAAGCTGCGAGAAACAGTTTCTTAATTGGTTTTGGAATTCATAAGCCTTGGGGAAAGAGCGGAAGATTTGGGAAAGAAGTTGTACATCTATTTTAGAGTTAGAGACTAATAGATATGGGTACGAAAGAGAAAATTGTAGAGAGAAAAAGAGACTTGAGATTGTGAGACAGAAATAGTGTGTAATCAAGTTTTTGAAGTAAAGTTGGTCATTCTTCGCCGTGGACTAGGCAATTTGCCAAAGTTTTTTGCTTGTGTATGATTTTTTATCTGTTATATTTGCCAATTGTGTGTGTGAAACCCTAACAATATCATCATTCAAAGAAAGAATCAAGTACAATCATTGAAGAAATTACTAATAATGATCATGCAAACAACTAGTATACCGACATAATTGATTAAAACACAAACTTGTAACTAGGTTCGGCCAAAATTTCCCAAAACAAACAACGAAGACCCATAAAAAATCTATACCTACACATACAAATGCACATTAGAACTTACATAAATCTCTATATATATATATATATATATAATAGTTTAAAGTAAGAATTGAAAGTACAATCATTGAAAAACTTACCAATGATGATCATGTAAACAACTAGTATACCGACATTGTTGATTAAAACACAAACTTGCAACAATGTTCGGCCCAAATTCCCAAATGCATCAGCCATAACACCAGCATAAGTGATCGACCCACCAATTCGACTGAACCTCAACAGGAAATCGATTGAAGCCTCTGCCAAAAAGGCGACGAACAAGACAATGGCGATGCCGAGGCCGAGACCCAACACTTTCATGGTGGCAGGTAAAGCCATAATACCAGCACCGATGATGGTGGTGGACAGATTGAAGACCGACCCAGTAAATGAAGCTCCATTGAACTCTCCACCAGACCCATGTTGGTCCTCCTCTGTTTTCTTGGGCAACAGAGGAACTTTCTCGTCACCAACACCATCTTTCTTGCTCTTTCTGGTTGATTTCTTGGTGTTCTTGCACTCATTTACCACTTCAATCGTCATGGCTTTTTAATAGATTTCTCGAATTGGAAGAAGACCATGGGTTTTGGGTTCGAATTCTATCTTGAATTTGAATCTGTAGAAGAATATATATCATTATCTATATATAATATATACACACAAGCATGTCACCGTTCTTATCAATATGCTATTGTCTGAAACATAGCATCAGTGGTGGACTGCTCAACAATCGATAATAAATTTTGTCGTATTGTTGTATTAGAGTAATAAAAAAAGTTGGCTAATGCTGATCAGTCTAATTGATTTGTTGGCACGTTGAGAATATTTTTCATTTTATTAGAGTGGCGTTACACGTGACTTTTGCCCTGTTTGGACGGAGGGAAGAAAAAAAAAAAAATTGAAAGAAAGAAAATAAGGAATGGATGAAGAAATATCCTGGCAAAATTGATAATGTATTCTTTCTATTTTTTTTTGTTTGGATGAAAGACAAGAAAATGAAATAAAGAGGGTATGCAGGAAGGACAATGATGAGGAGTAGAAAGAAGGAAATCAAGCAGAGAGGAGACAATGGGTTAGAGAAGTACATATTGGATGGAAATGAAAGATGGATTATTGCAGGTGTGTTAATTTCTGTCCAGGAAAAGAAATCATTTATATTGGAAATATTTTAAACATGGCAATAAAATGAAAGATGGTTATTCTAGATGTGTTTCTCTCCAGGAATGAATGATGAATTCAATTATATAACAAAAATTTAAGCATGGCCGAAATTGTCTCAATAGCTGACTAAATATAGAATGGAAAGTGCTGACTTTTTTTAGTGGAAGCCCCATCATAAATTACTATTACATTATTCATTTGGATAAGATTTTCTTACTTAGTGTGTGTGGTGTAATTTAAATAAAAAAAAAAAAGAGAAAAGAAAAGTTAATGAGTGGGACCACAAGCATTTAAATGGTCATGAGACCATCTTTGCTCTCATTTTTTTTTTTTTTTTTTTTTTTTTTTTCTCATTCGCGTAAGGTTATCTCTCCCGTCCAGAACTCCTTTTTTTTTTTTTTTTTCTTTTTTGGTTCCAATCTTCAAGCTTTGATTCCATTTTCATTACTTGCAGGATTTAGGTGCCGTTTGAGGCAAAACGACGAGTGTGACGAGCTCTACGTTCTAGTACCAGCAATTCCAGTTTTGCTACCTTCCTTGGAGCTCAAAAATTTAAACCCATTTCTAGGGTTTTGCCTATTTTGAAGTAGGGTCATCTTAATCCACTCTAGTTTTGTTCTATTATGAATTTTACTTCCATGTTGGATTAAATATGCTTAATTTAGAGTTAATTATATCTATGATGGTATTAATGATGTCTAGAGGGTTTTCACGATCTTGAATATGGTTGGTTCATGTGCAAATTATATTTAGTTGTTGATTTCCTATGTTTACTATGTGCTAGCATGCTGAAATTGATGTATGAGAGTATGCTTATTTAAATTGCGCCAAATTTCCCAATTCATGATGTTGAGCTCATATATATATATACATGCACATGCTTAAATGTATTTTGTTGTATCTTAATGTGTTAATAATTACTTGGGAGATGTTGAACATGTTGAATGTTTAATTTTATGATGGAAAATTTTAAATGCCATGACATTGAATGTATGGAACATATATACATGCACATACCATTGGGTTTGCATGAAATGGGAGAAATTGTTCTTGAAATAAATATGGGGAATTTCAGGGAAGTATTTTTGATAAAATGGTTTTATGTGAAACCCGGTCGCTGCGGGGTTACCAACGGGCCGGAGGTTAATATAGCCTAGAGGGGACTAGGGAGTCGCCCTAGCGTGGTTGAGTTAGCTAGGCCCCATAATAACGCCGCGGGGTTACCAAGGGTCAGGGACACTAACCAATCCTCCTTTCGTGTCGCGGCGGGGTTACCAAAGGGCGGGCTGTATTAACGTTTGAAAGTGATGATTTTGAGAATGAAAATGGGGAGTGTCATGCATTGCATGTCATTTCATTGCATTGCATCGTTTATACTTGGAATTGACTTGTATGTTATATTTGATCCCCTACGTTGTATGATCCCTATCTCCCATTGGCCTATGCTTTGCTTGAATTCACAAGGACACAAGATTTGTGTCTTAAGTGTCACCTACTGAGCATATAGCTCACCCTACTATTTATACATTTTTTTCAGGTCTTGGAAAGAATCGGTGGACGGCAACCCACCTCAAGCTTGAGCGATACTAGAAGCTCACTTTTGTGTCTTTGTATATTTCCCATTATTTTTGCAAAGCACTAAAGTATAAAGGTATATATGTATATTTTGCAAAACTTTGTCATGTAACCTTGTTGATGAACGGGAAGGATAATTTTAGTTAAAGTAATTATCGGTGTTATTTGATTGTGTATGATCATATACTGTTGCCGTGAATTCGGAATTTGAGCCATGATAGGTTAAAAATGAATTTAAACAGGGTATGGTAGGCCTATTTTTAGGGGAGGTTATGCCGAATTTTTTGTAAAATTCTTGGCATCAGCTAGGGTCGTTACATAATCTGTAATCACAATAAATCACTTCTCTGATTTTCTTATTTATCACTTTTTAAATTTTATAATTACAGACTATTTTTGCATTTGTGATTGGATCACAATAGCGGTCATTAGGAATAACCTACCCATCGGTGGGTAACAAGTCTTATCATTTGACATGCAAATAAAAAAAAAACTGACTAAATCTTAGGACAATACTTGCGCCCGTGAGTAGGTCATTCTTACTAACCGCTGATCTAGTTCAATCACAAATGCACACATAAGCTCTGATTGCAATTTTGTAATTAGAAACTATAGTGCATTTGTGATTGGATTATATCCGCGGTTAGTAGGATGCAAGTAAGCAAGTATTATTCATAAAGAATCCCATGAACTTCTTATGATCAATTGGGCCATACTGGGCTGCCTTGCATCTATACCTCTTAGTTTGGCTAGTCCTAACTCAATTGTCTAAAGGCCCAGTAATTAAAAGAGCTGGCCAAATTTGACAAAAGCCATCAGCCCTTTCAAACGAGCCTGGCCATACGCATAACATTTTCGTTAGTCCAGTATGGCCCAAGCAGCCTCAGTACCCAACCTAGACCAAGCCTAGCCCAACCCATATTGAGTTTCTGGTTAATGATTAAATGGGCTTCACTAGTTGAGACCTGACTAGCTCACACTTGAGCCTAATATTTTTGATGGTACGACGAGCTGCAATACAATTTAGCCCAATCCATATTCGATTCGTTAAAGTAACTGATTGTAGGATTCAGATCATTATTGGATTATCAGATTTTTTTTTTTTTTTTTTTTCAATCCATATTCAGCTAATTGTATCAAATTTGAATCAAAATCCGATCCATTGATGACAGCTCACACTTGAGCCTTGTAGGCTTGTGTCAGCATGATGGTATGATGAGCTCCACTACAATCTAGCCCATAAACATCCTGTGATTTCATATGAACAAGAAACTGGTGTTCAAGATAATGATGGCGTGTCTCATTACCTGAATTTACTGGTTGAAAATGTAATAATAATATAACAATACTGGTTGATAAGTTTCTTAATGATAAATATGTTGTTTTTACAAAGCAAGTTGATGTAACTATCTTAACCACTCAAAAACCTAATCACGTATCTAGAGGAAATTTAAGCAACCCTGAACAAGTCAACAAGCCAATATATATATATATATATATATATATATATATATGTATGTATGTATGTATATATATATATATATATATGTATGTATGTATGTATATATAATCCCTTTAACCAAGTCTTCTTGAGAGCGATCACGGCACGTTGAAATGCGAAGACTAAGGATGGAAACCTTGCTGTTAGCATTCAAAAAACAGTGCATGAAGTGGATCAAGTGATTGGAAAGGTTTCTTCTCACTAAGAAATAGTAAAAGTCAAAATGTTAGAAGTGATGAAATTGAACCAAACAATATGCATTTTTTTACTTCTGGATCTGACTGAGTCTATGTCCTTGAAATTTTCTTCCTTATAAAGAATCAACCTTAGAGCACAAATATACATATCTATATATATATATATATATATAATGTAAGTTGCAACAATCTCTCTTTCACAGTGACGAAATCACTTTCACAACGGTTACAAATAATTAATGTAGACAAACTATCAATGACAGGTTCAATGGTCATCCATTAAAATGCCCTCTTCAAGTATAGTGAGGTAGCATCACAGAATCTTTGCAAGCTCTGGTTATTATACAGGGAATTAAGATCATGTCAAGCAGTGGATCTGATTGGATGCGGGTATTGTTTTCTTTTCCTGCTTTTTTTCTTTTTCTTCTTCAATTGATCATGTATCAATGAACTCCCATGAGCTGAATAAACTTCTATGTTTGAATCTGCATGAAAAATTGTATAAACTCATAATTGATGCTAGTTATGACTTCAACGAAGATCGCATAGCAAAGAAGGTAAATATTTTTATGCATATGGTGAGAGATAATTTTTTTTTTTTTTTTTTACAGCAAGATAATTTCTTCTGAACATTCTTAATTTCCCTTTTCTTGAAACTAACATTGGAAGATGGAATAAATTTGAGTGATGAGAGGTAGACCTGAGTAAGAAATAGATCGAAGGCAAGGCAGAGCTAAGCTTTCTCCCCCGACAACAACATCAAGCTTTCCTGCACACTGAAATAAGTTCCTATTCTTTACAAAAGAAAAGTATACAAGAGACATTTATTCCAATTAGATTCTCAAATCATACAAATTAAATTGTTAATATAGGAGTATTATAATACATTAAGCACGAAGAAGAATGAATATTTTCGAAGAAATCAAAGAAGCCAGAGTTTCAGTTTAATCCTAATTGAAATGAAGACGGATAAAAGTTCATAGATAGATATGAAACAAGTGAAGAACTTGAAATATGAATCTAGGGCATTTTAATTATTTCCACAACCCTAGAAATTTCAAGGATACAATCAACCTATTTTCCTTCTTATGGAGGTTTTGACCGCTGCACCTCCCTTCAACTTTAGTACTTCATAGACAAAACCAATTTATTTATTTAGTTATTTATTTATTTATTCCAATAATAAAAACACTATATTCTACTTGCATGGTTTTCAATTGGGTCCTAATTTCTCTTATTAGTCAATAGAATTCAGTTTTTCTTGTATCTAATGTTCATAAATTCATTGTATATTCATCAGATTTCTTATAATTTGTGCAACAATATATGAGCTGTACAATACATAATGAGAAATATCACATCTCATCTCTTCCATCTACTGTCCATTTGGTTTGCCAAAAGAATGATTTGATGTAAGAGTGTGTGTAGAAATGCTAAGGAAGCCATTTCATAATTTTCACCTCTCATTCTTTTTGAGAGCCTAAGTGGAATGAGGCACAAACTCATGATCTGGTGATCACTATTTAAAAAAAAAAAAAGACACTCTTGGTTGAAGATCAGTATCAACAAAATCAAAAGTATAATGTTGTATAACTAAAACAATTTATTTCCTCTCCTTCAGCTTAAGGAAGACAGAACTCCAAACACTAGTCTTGCCGAATCAATGTTAGCATCTATCTCAGAGATCATATCATCAGTTGTATGCATAGAAGTGGAAAAGGAAAACTTCATTGAAATCGGATGCTACTTCTACCGGGCTTCAGCAGCCATAATGGAGCTGCAGACAACGGAGAACGCACCAACAAATGCAATAAAGATTCTACAATCTCTTGCCAAAAGTATCGATTTGGCAAAAGGCCTAGTCTTGAAATGCCACAAGGGTGCCTATACAATTCTGAATCGTGAAGTCAGAAGCATCATAGAACAGCTCAAAGATGTTATTAAACAAATAGGGGAAGATCTGAGTTTAATACCATCATCAACATTTAAGGACCACGAATATGCAGAAGCTGCAGTTCGCTCTCTTTCAAAGGAGATGAAAAGTGTTTACTTTGAAGTTACCAAAAATCAAATATCAGGCCGGAAAGAGGTTGAGCCACATGTCTTGCCTTCAGAGGAGGTACCAAAGAAGGAATCGGAACCAATACAAACAGATCTCTATTCCATCAATGTTGAAGTTTCTATGGAGATTCCTCAGTTATCAGACATACCACATCTTCATCAGATTGAATTCCCTGGAAGCACAAAAAGCAGGGGCCAAAGAAACCATGGAAAAAGAAGGTCTGGATCTGGATCCTTGACGGTTTTGCCACAAGTGGCTGAGTACATGGAACCTATGTATGAGACTTTCTTCTGTCCATTGACAAAGAAGATTATGGATGAGCCAGTCACCACAGAAACTGGAGTAACCTATGAGAGGAAGGCAATCATTGAATGGTATGAAAAGTTTGAAAACCCAAAGGACATCGTCTGTCCAAAGACACGGCAGAGAGTGAATAGAGTTTTAAGCACCAACACGGCTCTAAAAGCAACGATAGAGGAATGGAAGAAAAGAAATGAAGCTGCAAGGATCAAGGCTGCCCGGGCAGCTCTGTCGCTAGCCATTTCAGAGAATATGGTCCTTGAAGCACTCAAAGACTTGCAAGATATCTGCAAGAGAAAGCATTACAATAGAGTACATATTCGCAGCATTGGAATGGTAGCACTGCTTGTTAAGTTTCTTGAGTACAAAGGCGGAAATGTGAGATGTGCAACTCTGGAATTATTGTGCCTGCTGGCTGAGGATGATGATGAGGGCAAGGTTAATTCAGTCTTCTCTTGTTTCTTGTTTCTTCTTTTTTTCCCAAAATATAACAATAAATCAATGAGCTCTACAAAACTAAAATTTAACTGGCTTAAATATGTTTCTTCTTTCACAACTTTGAAAGTAAGAAATTGCAACTGGTGTTGTAAGAAGACAACAATCCCCTTATCAGCTTTATGAACAAATTTCTTTGTTTCCCCACTTTTCTAACTCTCTTGCATAGAGGTGAAGATTCTCATCAGCAATACTTCAGCTTGCAATTGTCAAACCTAGTATGTGATTTTTGTTTTTCTGTTTTATACAAGATAACTGAAAACCAAGGGCTAAGCTCTTAATAATCTATGCTTTAAAGTATTTTCCTATTAGGATATGAGCCCTTGTTTTCTTTTTACACACAGATAGAAAGGCACAAGAAGTTTGTAAGCATAAAAATTTGTGTATGTATGTAAGATTGCGTTACTGCCTTTCATACCAACATATTTTACCTTGGTGCTTATATGTGCACAGAAAATGGTCGCCATGGCAATTGACATGTCAATCATAATCAAGATGCTGTCAAGTAATGACCAGACCATAAGGCACACATCCCTGCTACTCTTGCTTGAGCTGTCAAGGTCTCGATCTCTATGTGAGAATATCGGATCAGTTACTGGAGGGATTCTGATGCTGATCACAGTCAAATACAAAAGGTCCTTGGATGCTTTTGCTTCCGAAAAAGCAGATGAAATCTTAAGGAACTTGGAGAGGTCTCCAGAAAACATCAAGTGCATGGCAGAAAATGGGCTCTTGGAACCCCTTTTGAATCATCTTATTGGAGGTGATTTTCAATATTCACTCCCACCACAATTATTGTTTAGTTCTTATACTTCAGGAAACAATTCCTTTGAACAGAAAAGCATAGGTCTTCCAAAAACCATATGTGAGTGTGTGTGTGTGTTGTGCAATGCAGTTTGAAACCAATTATAGAAGCAATCTACCTAGTAAATGAAGAGGAAGCTGGGATTATAGGAACTCAAAACAATTTTAACATGACATTGTATGTAAAAATCAATTAAAGTGTTATACAGACTAACTATAACAGTAATAGTTAAATAGGTTCGGAAGAAATGAAGATGGAGATGGCAAGCTACCTTGGGGAAATTGTTCTTGGACATGACATTGGAACCCATGGGGCAGAGAGAGCTTCTCCTGCTCTCATCAAAATGGTGCAAAGTGGAACCTCTCTGACCAGGAAGGCGGCATTTAAAGCTCTAAAGCAAATCTCATTATACCACCCAAATGTGAAGGTACTTGTAGAAGCTGGAATTGTGCAAATCATGGTCGACGAGATGTTCACGAGGACAATCTACAATGAGCCAATGAACTCGAAGAAAGAAGCCTCTGCAATACTTGCAAATGTGCTGGAATCCGGGGTAGAGCTAGAGACCCTTCAAGTAAACAACCGTGGCCTTAAAATGGCTTCGGACTATGTTGTGCACAACATCATGTACATGCTGAAGAGCTCAACCCCAGATGAAATCAACTTCAACCTCATCAGAATCCTCTTATGTCTAACAAAGTCTCCCAAATCATCGACTACAATAGTCTCCGTGGTCAAAGAGACGGAAGCAAGCTACAACTTGATTGAGCTCATTAATAACCCAAATGAAGAACTTGGGGTTGCATCAATTAAACTACTCATCACACTCTCACCCGGCATGGGCCACACACTAGCAGACAGGCTATGCAAAACCAGAGGGCAGCCTGAGAGCCTAATTCAGAGTCCAACTGAAGCAACCCGAATCACGGAGAAGCAGGCAGTTTCAGCAAATTTCCTGGCAAAGCTGCCTCACCAAAACCTTACACTCAACCTGGCTCTGCTCCACAAGAATGCAATCCCTACAATCCTACAAAGTGTCAGTCAAATCCAGAGAAGTGGCACAAGAACAAGCAGGTATGCAAGTGCTTACTTAGAAGGCCTAGTAGGTATTCTTGTCAGATTCACGACAACATTATACGACTATGAAATACTGTTTGTAGCGAGAACCTACAACTTCACATCAATATTCACAGAATTGCTCATGGAAACATCAAGTGATGAAGTTCAGAGGTTATCAGCAATTGGGTTGGAGAATCTTTCATCACAATCAATTGCCCTATCGAAAACACCAAGCATCAAGAAACCCAGGAAATTATTTTTTTTAACTAAATGCATATCCTGTAATTCGTCGAAGGAAAAGAAAATACCACTATGCCCAGTTCACAGAGGGGCTTGTTCCTCACAAGAAACCTTTTGTCTGCTTGATGCAAAGGCAGTTGAGAAGCTGTTGGCCTGTTTGGATCACGAGAATGTTAATGTGGTTGAGGCTTCATTATCAGCTATATGTACATTGTTAGATGACAACGTTGATGTGGACAAGAGTGTGAGCATGTTGAGTGAAGTGAATGCTATACGGAATGTACTGAATGCAGTGAGGGAGCATAAAGAAGAAAGTCTCTGGCAGAAATCATTTTGGGTGATTGAGAGGTTCTTGATGAAAGGCGGGGACAAGTCTGCTTCAGATATATCACAGGATAGGCTGCTCCCTGCTATGTTGGTCAGCGCTTTCCATCACGGTGATGTATCCACTAGGCAGATGGCAGAGAAAATCTTGAGGCATTTGAATAAGATGCCCAATTTTGCTACCGACTTTACCATGTAAAATGTTTCATGCATTTCCGATTCTGCTGTAAAGCACATGTTATGTTATAATGCTAGTAACCTGGAAAGATTAGAGTGAGTTTGTCATGCTAAAACAGATATCTATGTCTTCTTGTTCAGAATTGGAATATCAAAAATGTAATTTTGGAAAAGAGAAATTTGATTCATGACAGTAACAACTAAGTTCTGGCAGGCATACACCTAAGGCCTAAGGTTATCATTTTATCCGAAGTCCTAATACTCCTCCCACAGTCCCCACACATCCTCTCTCGGTTACTAATTCCAGTCAAGTCTTCACCTTGATGGTGTTCTTGTTTTAGTGTTTCCAGAATTTGATCAAGAGCAGAGAAGGCCGTAACGATATAATGACTGGTTGCTTATTGGGATCCAGTTCTGTTGCCAATCCAGTACCCCAAAGACTCCTTACTTCCTCCATCCACATTAACTTTGATCTTCCCATTCCCTTTCTCCTAACAGTACCTTTACCTAGACTGTGTCACTCATCCTAACTGGCGCACATAGTAGTCTTCTTTGAATATAACCAAACTATCTTAGTGATTTTCTCCGGATGATTTTAAATCATGAACAGCTTTCTGTTTTTTGGGTGAGGTTAATAATGAGCAAGTTACCACAGATTCTTTATTTTTTTTTCCTTGCCCTGGTATGTAGGGAATTTGTATAAAGAAATAGTAAGATTGGGGTATCTAGGTGTGATGTCCCACATCATCGTCTGGGGAGAAAAGTTGTTGAGACCTATATGTGTGAACACATCCTAACTATGTATATACTTTTTGAGAAAAACTGTGAACACTAAGAGGAGTGTGCAAATTGGTTAGCATCCACCGTGCGGGTAGGGTCATGACAAATGATAAAAAGAGCCAATCCCCTTAGATGTGCACAAGCCCATGAGGGACAAGAATACAGTAAGGATGCAAGGTCCTAGAAGGGTAATTGTGAGGTCCCACATCTCTTGAGAGAAGTTGTTGAGACTTATATGTGTGGACGTTCCTGAACAGTGTAGACACGTTTTTGGAAAAAACTACAAGCATCAAGAGGAGAATATCTACAAAGTGCAAGTCGGTCATGATGGCAGGGTTGTAAACGCGTTTTTGAGAAAAACCATGGGCACCAAAAGAAGAATATGCAAAAGAGAAAATGTGCAAAATGGATGGTAATTATACAGTGCGAGTCGGGTCATGACAGTAGGGTTCGACATGAGAAAGAATCTCTTCATATAACTAGTGGGTGGTGCACAATCAGGGTCCTCCCTCCTCCCCTCTCTCTCTGATCAAAGAGATCATATTAACTGTGAAAATATACATATTGCTTCAGAAAGATGCATTAATCAGTAGCAAAGTATAATAGAATTATCTATAATACAACACAATAAGCTATAGAGAAGCATGATAGAGTACTAATAAGACAACTCACCTCTAAAATTGGGCTTTTTCTAGCAATGCCAAACAAGCGCCCCAAAGAATAGCACATAATTGAATGAAATCTTATTTTCAAATAGAAAGGGAATGACATTTCATTTTCATTCATCAATATATGATTAAAGTACATAGATTTCAACCTCTCATTCAATGAATTAAACAAGATCACACCACCATGGTTCAACTGCAATCTTCTCGCGAATCCTACCCGTCAGCTTAATACAATAGTCAAACAACACACCCCACTTGAGACTCGCATGTCTCCCTTTTGGTGTTTTAAAGAATCATGTACACCTTCATGGAGTAATTCGGATCCCAGGAATAATGAATTTTCACTTTCTGACTCTAGTATTTAGTTCTTGTACAAAAAACAAATTATGCTGCCACTGCATCACCTACATGAGAGAGCCTCCTGGGTATGCAAAACTGACCCTCCAAGCTTCAACACCAAACTGACAATACAACAATTGGTAGACAGCTCTTCATCATCAGAAATGACCAACAATGTAAATCATGAGCTTTGTTGTCCCACGAGATAAAAGTACATAAGGGGGAGTAGAAACAATCTTCGGTTCAGAGAACTACAACAACGATCAAGGTTCAACTTTCATGTGGCTTGGTGGTGGAGACCCTGAAAGGAATCTGAGGTTATCTCAAGAACTCTAGTGATGTTTTTTAGAGGAGAGGTAAATTCAAAAATTAGCAGGTTCGACCACTAAAATCTTGACTGTCACCGGGTGCACTGGAATTGAAGCACGTCTGGATAACATTATTGAGCTCATCCTCCCACACATTAGGTACCTGTATTGTAGATAAGACATTGAAATCAAAGGTAAACTATGATGCTCGAGGACTATTGCAGGCGAAACTGAAATAAAAATTTTTCATCACACCAGAAATGCAAGTGACCTGGCCAATTGGAACTTGCTTGTCACAACATGACAATTTTAGCAAAGCCTAATTAAAATATCTCATCGATTATAAATAATTACCAATAATGGGTTTCAAGATGTACAAGCTATCAGGGCTAACACTAACAAGTAGATTATGCAATTCTAGGTTTTATCATCATTGAGTCAAAAAGATAGAAGGAAAAAAAAAAAAAATTGTTGGAAAGATCAAGAGCAAAACATCATACGTACGTCACATGTAGATATTACATATCAGAGCAAAGCAGAACTTTGAGAACAATAAGAAATAAATTAAGTTTTCGAGGAACATAAACTATATGACGGAAAGATACCCGAGCAGACAACAAGCTGTTACCTTGGGTGGTATCTCCTGCCACCCCCAAAGTGGAAGGAAGAGGGTTCAAGTCCCACATCAGAGTGGTGGCATTTTTTGCTTAATCAAATAAAGCAATATAATACCTGTGTAGGCACCTTGCATCCTCTTATGGTAGTTAATTGGGAATTGAGCATTCTCCGAAGAGCATCAGGTGAGTGTGCAACACCAGGAATACCAGCTTGGTCCAACCCTGGTTGAGATAAATGCACAAGGGGAAAATGCATATTCATATTTGGTGAAAATCCAGGAGCAGATGGAGCAGCAGCTTGTGATTGGAGGATCTGCTTTATAGAAAATGCATTTCGGTGACGATTGTATACAGTATATAAATGCATGTATGTAGGTAGTTAGGTACGTGCTCAGTGTTCACTTACATCTTTTGCAAGGAGCCCATCAATGTTGAAGTCCAAACGTGGATTCACTGTTGCAAGCTTCATTGATAGAAACTGAAGAAAGGGAGGGAGGCGGGAGAAAAAGAGAGATATTAATCATTACCTCTTAAAAGAAAATAAAATTTTCAAATCAGTTGGTAAACAGTATAGAAATGGGTTTTCTGTAAGCAGCATAAAATTATTAGAACGTAATGAGTTCTGCAAAAGTTTCAGGTAGTTGTTTTTGTGAGGAGTATTTTTTTATTTGTGGAGGTATATAATCTTATGATTGGGAATACATACTTTCAAAAAGAGTAACGAACATTTAATAACATTTAAAAGTGGATCAGATATAAGTCAAATCAACTTTTTTCCCAACTAAAAAGGCAGATTGATTAACATGCAAAGGTTGTAACATTATTCTAGGAGAGAGCGACATCACAAGACAGACTAATAGTTTTAGATGCATATATAAAAAGAAAATCTAAAGGGATAAATAAATATATAAAGTCAAGAACTAGGTGGTGGAATTTACAAGGGGAGAAAGTAGAATTATTTAAGAATAATATGTTACAAGGAGCAATATAAAATTTAGAAGATGAATTTAGCTTAATGTGGAATAGGATGAGCAAGTGTTTTAAACAAGTACCAAAAGGGGTCATTGGAGGATCAATTAGAGAATCAAATGAAAAGAGCCATTATCTAAGAAACTTGGTGGTGAAATAAAAAGGCCCAAACCATTATAAAAGCAAAACACGAATGTCATGAATTTTGGCAAAGAAAAACTAGAAATAGAGAACCTTTTGAAAAATATAGGATCTCAAAAAGGAAGTTAGAAATGTCGTGAAAGAAGCTAAATATAGAGCATATGTGGATCTTAGATACCAAATTAGATTCAAAAGCTGGGGAGAAGAATATATATATAAGCTAGCTAAACTGAGGGTGAGGAAAACTAGAAATTTTAACTAGCATACCTCAACCTGTCGTTGTAGCGATTGTACATAGTTAATGATTTCGTCTAGCATAACTGCCTTGCCTGTGACCTGCAAAACCCAATAAATTCTCATGAATGAACTGTTGTAATAACAACACTTAATTATATTGATAAATTTACTTAATTATAATCCCAAGGTCATTAATTCCAACAAGCCAACCTTGCTGCAACCAGGTACAAGGTCCTGAAGAAACTTCATTCTTTCACTGATCTTTTCCCTTCTCACCTATCATCCAAATCAATCAAACTCCAACAAAAGACTAAGAAAAAAATTCGTCTTTGCAGAGATGAAAATCTTTCATTCTAAAGTCTTACTCTCTCTGCAAGGCTGTGGCTGTTTGTTGCTTGGCCTCTTCGTGCTCTAATATGTATGTATTCTTCCTTAGTTGAATCTGAAGCTTGAGAACCTTGTTTACTTTGTTTTCCACTAGGTTTATTGGTTGCTGAAGCCGGGTTTTGATCTCCCTTCTGTAGAATTTCAGTGTTACCTTTCGTAGCTTCATCAGGTGGCTTGGGGGCTCCCTTGGCTTGATTAAGCTCAGTATCCTACCACATAAGCACAATGATTCATATGAAGTAAATAAAATGAACAAAAACGAAAGCAGTCATTGATGAAAGAAATCAATTGCAAACAGGGTATACCCGTCCACTTCTTTTCCTTTTCGTTGAGCCAAGCCCTTTGCTAGAAGAAGGTTCTCCACTCGTACCTTCCGACATTGATGGCTCCTCTTGATCATCACCCCTAAATTCGGCTTCATTGGACTCAATGCCAGACAGACCAACACCTTGTTTTGCTTCATCATGAGACTTCACAAAGTTCTCATTCTTTCTCTCATTACTGAGTGCTCTCTCTTTGGTAATCTGATGCTCAACAGGTAACGCGAAGTCTTTGGAAACTTCAGCCATTTTCACCTCATTTTTCTGAGACTGCCCACCAGATAAAGATCTCAACCCAGTGCCTGCCAAAACCTCTTGTGGCCCCTGCATCACTGATGTACCCCTAGAATAAGGACTCACAGATTCAGGAAAGCTAAAAGGGTTCACCATATCACAAAAATTCCCCCCACTGAAGCTCGAGAACCTGGCTGCTCGCTCAATGAGACCTGAATCTGCTGGAAACTGAGGTAAGCTCTGTGGAAGCATCCCAGAAGCAGTTGGTGAAAATATACCCTCCTTTAACATTGAATTCATTGTAGTCCAACCCACATCAAGTGTTCTCTCAATTCCAGTTCTGAAAGGGCCCAAGCTTGCTTTTCCCATTCCCATTATGTTTGAAATGCTAGCATTATTCTGGGTATTAATGTTACAAAAACTTAAGTTCTGTGAACTGGTGGGGTGGTCCCAACTGGTTGGGCAAAATGAGTCCACCATGGAGGCAGAGGAACCGGAAGAAGACTCCATTCGATCTCCTTTACAAACCGCCATATGATTGCCTTTGGGAATCAATCCCATCGACGTATTCATGAGATTGTCACCACCAAATCGCCAGTCCAAGGATATATTGGATGAATGGTAGTTTATAAGATCCTCATTCAATTTTTCTGGGTCAAATTTATCTTTGCCACCCGTATCCATTTCTCCTTGACAAGAATAGCAAAAGTAGCCAAAAACAGACACCTTTCTGTTAGAGTTGTCTTTCAACAACCAAGTAACTTGTGGAAAATTGAATCTGCAAAATTGATCACCCCAAAAAAAGCCCTAATTCATCAATAGCTTCAACAAAGATCAAAGACCCAAAGAAAAGGGCAAACCCATGAAATTTCCAAACCCAAATAATATATATATATATATATATATATATAAGTACTTCCTAAACAAGTTTTATTAAAATCCACAAAACTTGCAACTCAAAACAAGAAGAAAATGCCAAGTGGTTAAATAACAGAGATTTTCTTTCTTATGAAACTGGAAACACCCATAAACAAAGAAACTACGCAAGATTGCATACTTGTACGGAGCGAGAAAAAGTAAAGAAGAATGACCCACTTCAATTTATGAGCTGAAAAAACTAAAACCCTAAGCATTAAAACCAAACCAAGTACCAAACTGTGCACCAAAGATCCAAAGAGTAAATAGCTACTACTATTTCCAAAGCTATCACTGAATTTCAACCAGTTGTCCCAAATTACACAAGTGAAGCCCTCCAATGACAAAGAAAACATACACCCAGTTCAATAAAGAGTCCAAGAAAGGAATCGTACACAATTAATTAAGGCAAAGCGCATTGATTTCAATATCATAAATACACATTCAAAGCCTACAGAAAACCCTAGTCAGAGCAATAGACCCACCAGCTCTGAAACACAGAGAGAGAGAGCAAACTAAAAGTGGAAAAGGAAAGATACCCATTTCAAATTCTGCGCAACTTTTGATTCTCTGTCCACCATTTTGAAGCTTTTTACTGAGAACTTTTATGAATTTGGGGGCTTTGTCCAAACCGTCCTGGCTTTTAGCTCTCAGCCAAACTGAATTACGCTGTCAACGTTTCGTGCTCCAAGGAAAAAAAAACACATGAAACAAACGTAGAGAGAGAAACTAGTCAGAAAGAGCTTCGGAAGTACAGTAGAGAGAGAAACAATGCAGTAGAGAGAGAAAAAGGAAATGGGTATCGGAAGGAAGTGAAAAAGAAGAGCAATGGCAAAAGGTCCTGCATTTATACCCACGCCTGCATCAAATGAAGAGCTCTTGATGATTAACTACCTCCACTGTAGTAATAGTAAATTTCTACACAAATATAGATGTATTTTTTCCCTATCAAGCTTCTTTACCATCTTTACCAAAAAAAAAATATATAAAATAATAATAATAAAATAACAAATTTTTTTTTTTTTTTTTGAGGTGCAGCAATAAAGTTGGTGTTAATTAAGTTACCATCTTTCTCTGGGTCGTTTTTAGTGTCCTGAGTGTGTTTTCATTTTTACACTCCGTACATAAATTGATTCAAATTTTTATTATTTATAACTTAATTCTGTTGTTCTTGCGCTTCCACCCTCAAATTTATCAAATTCACTCTCGTTCTCTTTTTCGTTTTATATGACTTAGAGTGTTAATATATTAAATGTAATAATTTAGTACTATCTCTTTGAACTCTAGGAGAATTTGAGTTGTTAACAAAATCGGGGATGTAAATTTCTTGGTAATGAATTATTTATTTTTTTTGGCTGCAGTATTATTTGAAGGTTATGAATTTAAAATTACATTTCTCTAAGAATCTAGAAAGTAAGACGGAGTATATCCTAACCTTTGTTTTCTTTACTTTATTTTAATCTCTATATTTTACTGATAACCATACCAGCATGAGCTAGCAACTGACATTGCCAACTCTCACTAGCGATTTAAATCATTTATATCTTCTTTAATTGCAACTTCAGAGGAGAGCTTATAAATTTATAATATTTATTGGGTTTGTTTGGTCAAGACCACGGGACTTATGAATTAAAATCCCCCCATATTCATGTCTCATTTTCACATTCTTTTAGATCATTCCATGGATTATGCCTTATGGTATCTCATTTGTGATAACTTGAGTAGCTTATCCTTGTTGTCTGTATAATTTTTGAAAAATAATGCTTTTTTTTTTTTTTTTTTTAGTTTTTAAAATTCCAATTAATGAAAAAATATATTGTGATTTTGCTTACTAATTTAAAAATAAATTGTATGTGCAAAATTCTTTTTCCTTTTTCCAAACATTATTATTCTCTCCTAATATTTGACAATTATTCTCAATTATATTTTTCACCTAATATTTAACATAACCAATGAATGGGATAGTGCATGTGTGTATTTTTAAAATTTTGTTGTTAGAAATATATCCTATTCATGGTTTGCCGTATCGGGCGGTTTCGTAACTCAGGTCCGATACCATCATACACTTTCATAAACCGGTCGATTTAACTGATTTACATCGATATTTGTCCAGATATGTTACCGCGACCGATATTGCCAACTATATTCCTACCTATTGTAGCTTCAATTAGATTTGGGCATAGGGTCCAAAGTTGAAGTTATAGCAGTTAGTGCCTATCACAGACAACAAGAGCAAAATGCTGTTTATGTGGAGTCCATTAAACCTCAAATTTGTAATTTGTAAAGAGTGGTCCTGTTCTGTGTTGGTCCTTTCAGTGATAGGTATGGAGAGGGATGCATTGTTTCATAAAGTGATTACTTTTACTAATATATTCTTATATTGAATCAATTTTAAATTTTAAATTCAAAACAATGTAAATGTTTTCTATTGATTTCAGAATATGTGGGCATACCAAACATTTTAACACTTTGGCATAAATCGTATTTATAATGAAATAGGACCATGTTTGTACACCACACTTGCCAATTGAAATGTATACCACAAATTGGTACCTTTAATTACATAACCAGCAAGATGGACCCGCTAATATTCAGGAGCATTTGGATCGAGCTTTGGCAACGAAGGATTGGATATCTGATTTTCCTCGGGCTCAATTATCTCATCTTTCAGTGGTGGGATCCAATCACTTTGCCTTGCTTCTTGAACTTTTGCCTGTCGTACGGCCTCAGAAAAGGCAATTTCATTTTGATGGTCGCTGGACTTTGTTGGAGGATTGTGGGCAAATTGTTGATTCAGCTTGGTCTATTCCGATATTCATCTCATTTCAGTGGGCTCAGAAATTAAGGCACTTTAAAGCTGATCTTATTAGGTGGGCTAAGCTCCGAAATCTTAATTCCCGAACTCATCTTGATAGTACGACTGCTCGGCTTCGTGAGTTGAAAGCTCAAACTTCTAATTATTGTCATGCGGATGTGGTTCACTTAGAAAACATTTTAACTTCTTGTTGGTTAGAGGAAGAATTATTTTGGAAGCAGAAGTCTCGCCTCCTGTGGTTGCAAGAAGGGGATCGTAATACCAAATTATTTCATGTCACTGCTAAAAGGAGGTGCGGCCGCAATACCATTTCAGGGGTTTTGATGCAGGGAACCAGTGGGTGACTGACGAGCATTCCGTTCAATCGGTGTTTTTGAGTTATTTTCAGAATTTATTTCGGTCTTTCTATCCTACCAATATTGATCAGTTCTTGCGGTATATTCCTGTGCGGATTTCTGATGAGATGAATGTCAATCTTTTGTTGGCCCCGTCGGAGTTGGAAGTGAAGCAGGCTATTTTTTCAATGCAACCGATGAAAGCCCTTGGACCAGATGGGATGACACCGCTGTTCTATCAGAAATATTGGGAGGTACTTCAAAGGGATATTGTTGCTGCTGTCTCTAGCTTCTTTGATACGGGAAATTTGTTATCCAGTTTTAATCATACTAATGTTGTTTTAATTCCTAAGATTCCATCTCCGACACAGGTTAGTCATTATAGACCTATTTCTTTGTGTAATGTGTCTTATCAGCTTATTGTAAAAATAATGACTAATTGCTTGAAAGGGATTATTGGCTCCTATATCAGTGATTCCCAAAGTGCGTTTGTTGCATATTGTCATTTTACGGATAATATTTTAATTACTCATGAAATTTTGCATTATTTATAAAATAAAAGAAAGGGGAGTAAGGTGTGGTTGGCGTTGAAACTTGACATGAGTAAAGCTTATGATCAGATTGAGTGAGAATTTTTATTGCATATGCTGTCTAAGCTGGGCTTGAACGATCATTGGATTCAAATGATAATCGCATGTATTTCCACGGTTTCTTACTCTTTAAAAATTAATGGGAGTTCGATGAGTTTTTTTACACCGTCAAGGGGGTTGCGTTAGGGCGACCCTTTATCTCCGTATCTTTTTATTATCTGTGATGAAGCTCTTTCTCTTGCTCTTTTGCGCGCCTAGCAAGCCCGGTTGTTATCTGGTATTCGTATTTGTCAGGGTGCTCCGTCTATTTTGAATTTTTTTTTTTTTTTTTTTTTTTTTTTTTTTTTTTTTTTTTTTTTGCTGATGATTCTATTGTGTTTTGTGCTGCAGTTCAGGAGGAAGTTTCTGTTTTGAAACGCATTTTGACCAATTATGAAAGGGCCTCTGGATAGCAAGTGAATTTTAGTAAATCATCTATTTTCTTTTCGAAGAATGCCCTAGGATCAGTGCGTCGTTTTCTTAGTCGATCTTTGGGATTGCAAATGTAGGGTTTGCATAATCGGTATCTTAGTGTGTTGGCAATTTTGGGAAGATCCAAGAGAGATGTGTTTCAGTTTTTGCTGACAAAAATCCAGGATCGGTTATCTTTTTGGAAGGCGAAGTCTTTGTCCTCGGGTGGGAAAAAGGTTTTGATTAAAGCTGTGTTGAGTTCTTTACCTACTTATATTATGTCTTCTTTTAAACTTCCCATCTCATTGTGTCAAGATTTGATGAAGTACATTCGTTCATTTTAGTAGTGTAATAAGGATAAAAATAAGGCAATTCATTGGATTCATTGGGATCTTCTTTGTCGGAGTAAGAATTTAGGTGGACTTAGGTTTCGAGATTTGGAGGCTTTCAATTTAGCCCTTTTAGCGAAGCATACTTGGCATTTTCAGGTTACGAAGAAGGGGTTGGTGTATCAGCTTTTTAAGGCCAAGTATTTTCTTTCTTCGTCGTTTTTGGATGCTTCATTGGGGTTTAATCCTTCATGGGTTTGGCGTAGTATTTGGTTTTCTCAGGCTTTGTTGCGTCAGGGCTTACAATCATTGATTGGGAATGGTATCTCTACCCATGTTTGGAATGATCATTGGGTTCTTACGCTGCTGTAGAAACTTTCACCACCCACGGTTTATGTTTCTTTATCTTCTGTCGCGGATTTGATTGATCCTGCCACGTCTTCATGGAAGGTGGATGTTTTGGATCAGTTTTTCCATCCTCTTACGGTGCAGGAAATTCTCAAAATTCACATCAGCCGATGGAATAAACCGGATGTTGTCATTTGGGCTCCGGAGAGGTCAGGTAAGTTTTCAGTTCGTTCTGTTTATAAATTGGCTATTTCAATGTCTCACTTTTTTGGGGTTGCTTCACTCTATTGTTCTTGGTCCTCTATTTGGCGGTGTCGTACTCTGTCTAAGGTGCAACACTTTTGTAACGACTCGAACCCGAGGGTCCAAATCGCTAACCGGGTCCTTATCCGAACTCGAGGTCAACAAAAGACGTTACCATTCTTTCATATGGCAATACATAATATACATGTCATCCCAGGGTTTATAAATAATAATAATAATAATAATAATAATAATAATAATATGAGATCATAGTTATAAAATAGGTCAAACAGTCCACTAACCCATCAAAACCTGTAGAGGAATGTCGTCCGCCACTTCCTTTCCCAAATTTGAAAAATGTTAAAATAATGGGGTGATCATAAGCTCAATAGGGGTGTCTAAGACACACCTCTTATGACCCCGTGAATCCACGTATAGAATAAAAATCAAGAGAACGGGATCATACTATACCAGGGATGCAATCCATATCCACAACGTCAAATATAAACACAATGTCATCCAAGTCACAAATACACCATATATGCCAATGAAGTGCAATGACATGCCCATGTCGCTCCCCATTTCTGAAACATTTCTGTTTCAACTTCCAAACCATTAGTGTAATCCAACCCAAAGCACTTCCAAGGCACCACGAAAGGGGGATTGACTAACTATCCACGACCACAAGGCACTTCCAAGACATCGTATCTGGCCTAGTTAGCTCAATCCCTAGTACTCTCTAGACTAC